ATATTTTAAAAATAAAAGATCTATTTTACGATCTTCAAAGATCTTGCTCAAAAATCTTTTGAAGTGTAAGGATCTTAAAAATGTATGTATATATTTTTTTAAAGTAAATCAGTAAAATATTTTCATTCTTCATAATTTATTTAGGATTACATTGATTAATATCTTGCAAATTTTTTTGACATAATATTGTACTAATGTAAAATTAATTTATATAAACATTAGACAAACAATGATATATGTATTAAAAACCTAAGGTAAATATTTAGAAATGATAATCTTAATGATTTAGCAACCAACAAGCAGTAATCACCGGGGAAAGGGGGCGCAAGACTTGAGCCACCTGTAAAATTTAAAGAGCCCCCTCAAAATTTAATTTTTTTTATACCCCTAAAAAAGAAGATAATTTTGAAAATAATCTACTCCATCGTTCATGGAGTGCACAGATCGGGTTCAGAACAAAAAACAAATTATAACACAGTTATACAACTCCGTGAAGTTGGCCGAACATTTGGAGCACTAACGATGAATCATATGTCATTTTTTAGTGCTTCGTTAGTGCTTATTAGTGCTTCAATCCGTATAGTAGCCGAATTTAAGGAAAAAAAGTTATAAGCAAAAATAAAAATTTGTGCCAACTTCACGCTTAAAAGTTGACTGAAAGCACTAACGATGAAACTTATATCATTCTTTAGTGCTTAGTTAGTAGAGGTTAGTGCTTCAATCACTTTTGTAGCCGAATTTAAGAATAAAAAGTTATTGGCGAAAAAAACAAAATTAAACAAATATTGGCGACGTGCCAAAACAAAAACTAGAGTAGTACTAAACATCCGGTTTTCGCCATTATTTAGTGCTTTATTTAAATTCCGTTATTAAATTGGTTAACCGCCATATGGGAAAAAGTCATAAGCTAAATAAAAATTATGACGTCACGATTTAAGCGTGAAGTTGGCCGAACTTTTGAAAGCACTAACGATGAAATTTATATCATTTTTTAGTGCTTCGTTAGTAGAGGTTAGTGCTTCAATCACATTTGTAGCCGAATTTAAGAATAAAAAGTTATTTGCGAAAAAAACAAAAATAAATAAATAATGGCGACGTGCCAAAACAAAAACTATAGTAGTAGTTAACATCCGGTTTTCGCCATTATTTAGAGCTCAGTTAGTAAATTTGAATTCCGTAATTAATTTGGATAACCATCGTATGAAAAAATCGTAATACGCTAAATAAATATTTAGAGGTCAAATTATGGCAAGAAAATTATGAAAGCACTAACGATAAATTTATATCCTTCTTTAGGGCTTCCTTAGTAGAGGTTAGTGCTTCAATTACTTTTGTAGCCGAATTTAAGAATAAAAAGTTATTTGCGAAAAAAACAAACAATGGCGACGTGCCAAAACATAAACTATAGTAGTAGTTAACATCCAGTTTTCGCCATTATTTAGTGCTTAATTAGCAAATTTGAATTCCGTAATTAATTTGGTTAACCGTCTTTATAAAAAATTGTAATACGCTAAAGAAATGTTTAGAGGTCAAATTATGGCAAGAAAATTATGAAAGCACTAACAATGAAATTTATATCCTTCTTTAGGGCTTCCTTAGTAAAGGTTAGTCCTTCAATTACTTTTGTAGCCGAATTTTATAAAAAGTTATTTGCGAAAAAAACAAATAATGGCGACGTGCCAAGACAAAACCTATAGTAGTACTAAACATCCTTCGCCATTATTTAGTGCTTAATTAGCAAATTTGAATTCCGTAATTAATTTGGTTAACCGTCTTTATAAAAAAATTGTAATACGCTAAAGAAATGTTTAGAGGTCGAATTATGGCCAATTATGAAACCACTAACGATAAAATTTATATCCTTCTTTAGAGCTTCCTTAATAGAGGTTAGTGCTTTAATTACTTTTGTAGCCGAATTTAAATATAAAAAGTTATTTACGAAAAAAACAAAAATAAACAAATAATGGAGACGTGCCAAAACAAAAACCAAAGTAGTACTAAACATCCGATTTTGCCATTATTTAGTGCTCAATTAGTAAATTTGAATTCCATAACTAATTTGGTTAACCGTCTTTATAAAAAATTGTAATACGTTAAAGAAATGTTTAGAGGTCAAATTTTGGCCAGAAAATTATGAAAGCACTAACAATGAAATTTATATAATTCTTTAGAGCTTCCTTAGTAGAGGTTAGTGCTTCAATCAGTTTAATAGCCTAATTTACAATAAAAAAGTTATTAACAAAATATACAAAAAATCTGTCATCGACAAACATTTTATTTTCACAATTATTTAGTACTTATTTTGTAAAATTTAAACCCTAATTAGTTTGATTAAAAACCCCAAGTAATTAAAAATGCATATTGTCTTTTTGCACTTAACCTATCAATTGTTTCCGTAGATCATCTGTCATATTTGAGTAAATGTTTCAGAAGCTTATATATATTAAGGTTCCCAAAATACAAGAATAGCTATAACCAAGTCACAAAATATTATTTCCAATACTGCCTAAATGGGTCCATTGAACTCCATTCTTGTGTAATAATTATATAATTTTTATTATTTTATTGTAACAACTACATTTTTTCTCCAGCATCTATTATTCTGAGGTGTCATTGAATGATATGATTAAAAACATTCTCAGAAATTTTTTATTCTTTATTCAAATTGTTCTTTTTACATAGTTTTATTTTATTCGAAAAAATTACGCATATGTTTATTTCTATCATAAATTTTAGTTATATTAAGATCACAATATTATGAAATACCCGTCGAACTGTGCTCAGGCCTAATTTTTTTAAAATAAATCGGGTTCGGGCTTAATATTTTTTAAAAAAGGGCCGGGTAGGGTTGGGACTTAGAAATTTTTTTAAATATATCTAAATTTATCAATTATATATTGAATTTTTTATGTAAAATAAAAATATTTGATTTTATTTATAGAAACTAGACAACATATAACATATGTCTTTTATTTTGAGTAATTTTAAAATTTATTTTCTATATTTTAAAAAAATTTCTGGTTTGGGCCGGGCCGTCAAAACTTTTTTAATAAAATTTCGGACCGGGCCGGGCTTGAAAAATAAGGCCCGATGCAGATCATTAATACTTATGCAGGAATTCTGAGAGTTACCCTGATTCGATTAATTACTGCCATATTAATCCTTCAAATTTTCTGACACCTATCTAGACGCCTAAGAAAATTTTGGCCCAAAACTTTAAAAAATTATATTCGATTCATAAATTTGACGTTCGTCTTTATTAAAGTTTTATTATTAAAAATTTTTTTTAAAAAATTATATCAAAATCAAAATGTTTTTTACAATATTATGGAAAGTTATTTAAATATATAAGAATGTTTGACATTATGGAAATGTGTTACATACTATAAAAATTTACAAGTAATCAAAAATTTTTTGAGTAATGTAAAAAATTAATTACAGAATTTCCCACATGTGAATAATAAATCAACACTCAGCTGTAAACCATATAATAAATAGAAGCCTAACAGCTGCACACATTCCAAACAATCTTGAACTATCAAATTTATATCAAGTAGATGGTTTAAGACATGATGGTATGACAACCATACCTTGGGCCCTCGGCAAATCACTCATATGGGACTACACGTGTGTCTCATCATTCCCTTCAAACATAAATTTCAATTTAATAACACAGGCAGAAATTAAAAAGACAAACAAATACAAAAATTTTAATAACTTCATATCTCCAGTAGTGACTTCTATTAACGGGCATTTTTCGCCTTCAACATTTATTTTTTTTAAAAATCTGGGTAATAAAAACGACTTTTCACAAATGAACCCAGAGAATTTCTTTTTATTCGACAAAAAATTCAAATAGAAATTTTTAGACACAATTATGGTTCCTTTTTGGGGACTCAATTATAGAATTTTATTTTTAATTATATAATTATAAATTTATAAATTATAATTTTTTTAATTAGGTTTTATTACTATTTTATAATTTTATATATTTTCATAATCCTTAGTGTATTACAATTTTTTATAAAGACGGTTAACCAAATTAATTACGAAATTCAAATTTACTAATTGAGCTCTAAATAATGGCGAAAAGGGGATGTTTAGTACTACTATAGTTTTTGTTTTGGCACGTCGCCATTATTTGTTTATTTTTGTTTTTTTCGCAAATAACTTTTTATTCTTCAATTCGGCTACAAATGTGATTGAAGCACTAACCTCTACTAAAGAAGCCTTAAAGAAGGGTATAAATTTCATCGTTAGTGCTTTCATAATTTTCTGGCCAAATTTTGACCTCTAAACATTTCTTTAATGTATTACAATTTTTTATAAAGATGGTTAACCAAATTAATTATGGAATTCAAATTTGCTAATTAAGCACTAAATAATGGCGAAAACCGGATGTTAACTACTACTATAGTTTTTGTTTTGGCACGTCGCCATTATTTGTTTTTTTCGCAAATAACTTTTTATTCTTAAATTCGGCTACAAATGTGATTGAAGCACTAACCTCTACTAATGAAGCACTAAAAAATGATATAAGTTTCATCGTTAGTGCTTCCAAAAGTTCCACCAACTTTACGCTAAAATCGTGACGTCTTAATTTTTATTTAGCTTATAACTTTTTTCCCATATGGCGATTAACCAAATTAATAACGGAATTTAAATACATAATTAAGCACTAAACAATGGCGATAACCGGATGTATATTACTACTCTAGTTTTTGTTTTGGCATGTCGCCAATATTTGTTTATTTTTCTATTTTTCGCCAATAACTTTTTATTCTTAAATTCAGCTACAAAAGTGATTAAAGCACTAACCACTAATAACTAAGCACTAAAGAATGATATAAGTTTCATCGTTACTGCTTTCAGTCAACCTTTAAGCGTGAAGTTGGCACAAATTTTTTTTCTTGCTTATAACTTTTTTTACTTAAATTCGGCTACTATACGGATTGAAGCACTAATAAGCACTAACGAAGCACTAAAAATGGACATATGATTCATCGTTAGTGCTTCCAAATGTTCGGCCAACTTCACGGAGCTCAGTTATACTCATAAATATGAGTATCCATATACCAATTTTCCTTGTTAATAAATATTAATAATTTTACATATTGTATTAGTAAACGCGTTTAATGTCAAATGAGTATTTAAAAAAAATGCAAGTATTATAACATAGATAGTTAATATATTAATATTTATTATTAACTACCAAAATGATATTATTCATTTAGCTTTAATTATCTTAAATTGAATTGTAAGTATGCCAATAATTAATAATTAAATATGTTTATGCCTATTTAAAATATAATTCAAAATTAAATAAAGGGTAGAAATGACTAAATAATATATGATGTTTTGATTCAATTGTAAATATTTTATATTATAACAGATATGAATAATCAAAATTGTAACATTAATAATAATGCTAGTCAGACTTTTAATAATCAAATACAAGATGATTGGAAGAATTATGAATGGGAAGATATTAACACACCCCAAATTAATTATAACAATAACCTTGAAGTTCATGAACAATATGGAAAATTATTAATTAATTCTGAAACAAAAGACAATGTTTCTATGATGCTCTTTCAAGATGACAAGCATACAAATATTTATGATAATAGTAATATAACTCATTGTTTAATATATTTAAATTTTTTCCTAGAATAAATATCAATTGTTAATCATATTTTTTTTATTAATATTTTATAATCTTAGTTTGCTTTAGTTAAATAGCTTATCTTATTAACATTTAAATATATTATATATGATAATCAATCAAATAATAGGATTAGTTAAGAACATATAAGTTAGAATTGTTATCTATTTATCAATACTTAAAGTTGTTTATTGATACTATTTTTAAATAAAATTAAAACAACTCTTTGATATTAAAAATTGTTATCCCAATTAATAATGAGGTGTTTGCTAGCTTAATCCTTTATTAAAAAATTATAAGTTTTATTTACTTTAATTGTTTATCATGCATTTATATAAATAAACTTTTTATAAATTTAATATAAGTCAGTAAGGTTATCAATATGCAAATTTAATATTTAAATTAGAGGTCAGTACTTTCCATCACAAATTGTCTCATGGGAATTTTCTATAAGGTTTTCTAGACCAGTCCCTAATTACTTCTACATAGCCTGTAAAATATGGTCACTGCAAATGTTTGACCTCTATAATTTTATGAAGGATGGCGACATAAATTTCCCTAATTGCCATCTTTAGACATTTTCATTACTTCATGCCTTACCCAGAAATTTTTTTTTGCCCAGTCCATGCCAGGTTACATCAAATAATTAAAAATTAGAAGTCAGAAATTTATTTGTATGGTTATTGAAATAAATTTAAACAGTTTTTTTAAAATTTTTAAATTAGCACTCTACTTTTCTAATTGAATACAAATTTTATTATCATAATGATTTTTGGTTTATGGGTCATTCTAGCACAAATGACTAAAATACCATATTTTAGCAACCATAATTGAAAACAACTGGAACTTCATATGATGGTTATGTAGTGTCTAGTTTAAATAATTATTGAAGTCTTAAAGCATAGATCTAATGGATCTTGAGTTATAGACTCTAAAATTAGAGGTCTGCAAAAGTAGGCCCAGTCCATACATGGCATAGCCCAAACGTGCTTTGGGCTGGGCTTAGGCCTAATTTTTTAAAAAAATTGGGTTTGGGCTGGGTTGGGCTAATATTTTAAAAAAATTTAAGCCAGGTCGGTTGGGCCTTGGAAATTTTTCAAAATATATTTAAGATTTATCAATTTTATTTGACTTTTTTATGTAAAATAAAAATATTAGATTTTATTTATAGAACTAGACTCCATATAACATATGTCTTTTATTTTGAGTAATTATAAAAATTAATTTCTATATTTAAATATAATCGGGCCAGGCCTGCAAAAATTAAAAAAAAAATTTGGGGTTCGGACCAGGCCGGCAAAACTTTTTTAGAAAAAAATTTGGGGCTAGGCTGGGTTTGAAAAATTAGGTTGATGCAGATCACTATCTCTAATAGTGTTGTTAAACATCTCATTATGAGCCGATTTTTAAAAACAGCTAATTCAATATTTTATTAGGAAAAATATTATGCAAGCCTTAAAATTTTGCTCATAGGTGATACAAAGGTTTGAACATCTATTAACAAAATCTCGAGGCTTAAACAATATTTTCCTGGCTAAAATATTGAGTTAGCCGTTTTTAAAAATCGGCTCAAATTGAGCCATTTAACAACACTACTCTCAAAGTACAATACAGGGGCATCTTAGTTTTTCTCAAATTATTCGATAAATATTTAGGCCAATTGTATAAATTATATATCACTTTGTATCTTTAAATTCTTATCAATATTTTTTGGGTATAACAAAAATGTGTTATGAATGAGTTCACTGTGATGATAAAACTTGCCAGATATGTTTATTAACAGTATATTATTTAACTAAGAATAAGAATGGAAGAAATAAAAGTATTTTATTTTTCAAAATAAATCCAAATATATAGGATTCGATCTTTAAATATTTATTTTTTGATGCATAATCATTATACAATATTAAATACAGTTGAATATAGCAGAAATCTGCAGGGGTAGTTATTTTAAGCATGATCTGGGTAAATTCTTTTTTCTAGCCCTGTTAGGCCTAGATTTTTTTTTTAAAAAATATTATCTTCACAAGGAATTATATTGATGTCTAAAAGATTACAAAACTTGAAAGAGAAGCTTTTTTTTGAAATTTTCAATAATTGTACATGATAATTGTTTTAACGAGTGTGGCGAAATATGATAGATAGTGCGTTACTTAGCTACTTTTTAAAAATATAATGAATATAACTATAAACATGAAAATTTAAATATAATATCATAATTAATATAATTTTTATGATTTATTTTTTAATTTTAAAATTGAAATTTATATTTTCAATTTGTATTATAAACCTAAATCATCTGGTGTAAATTATTTAAAATGTCATCACAAATGGATGTGAGTCAGACAATGATGATATTAATGAAATGGAAGGTACCTTGGAAGAAAGTATTCTTGATAACAATAATACACATTTTCCATTTCCAAAGTTTGAAAAATATTTACAAATTAACGTAAAACAAAAGGTGGCTACAAATTTATTTGTTTAAAATAAAATATACCTTAAATAAATCTAGTAGCTATAACTTCAAAAAACACCTAAAGGTAATCGTCATATTTAAATTCTAATAGTATTTATTTTATAACAATGTGCATGCTAACAGTTTTAAATAGAAAAACATTGTAATAATTTTAGTATAGGAGAAACTACATCCAAAAATACCAATTCAATTCAAGCTAAATTGATTAATAATATTGCACATGCCAATATTTCTCAGATACTGGCTGATAAAGTTATTGTCAATTTTATAATTGATACAGCCCCAATGTCTTTGGTTGATATTATCATGATGATTTAAGCTCTATCCCTTGGTATAATTTTTGTCACGAGACACTAATGATTAAGATAGCAGATAACTTTGAAGTGATGAAAGATGCTCTAATAGCAGAGTTGTCATCGATATCCTATATATGTGCCATGGCTGATATTTGGACACATAACAGAAGGTAAAAATTTATTTATATTAATAAATTGATCTGATATTAATATTTTTTAGAGTTTATTTGGGAATCACAGCCCATTGACTAGACCCTAAGACTTTAAAAAGAAGATCTGTAGCATTAGCCCTCAAAGGATAATAGGATGCCAGGCATACGATGTACTTGTATATAAAATTTATGATTCATCCCAATTTTAAACTAAAGTGGCCATATATCAATTTCAATGATGCTAAAGATCATCGTGATAGGCTCATTGTAAAACTGAATAGTCTCATATCAAACAAAGGTGCCCTAGTCACAAAAACGAATTTCACTGATAATTTTTTTGAAATAAAGGATAATAATCTAATAGAATATCCTCTAGACGCGATTTTCAATTATAAAAATACTCATTTATATTAAAAATATGTATATAAAATTAAATACTGCTTTGCCCTCAAATGTAATGTTAAAGTAACTAACTAGTAACTAGTTATATTTTTGATAAAAAATAACTGTAACTAGTTATATTTTAAAAATTGTAACTAGTAACTGTAACTAGTTATATTTTTTGAAATATAACTGCCAAAAGAAACTAATTACTTTTAAAAATATGAATTAATTATATTTTTTAATATGTTTTTTTTAAAAAATAATACAACTATTTATTAAAAGAATATTAAAATTATAATTAACATACTATATATATATTCTATATAAAAATATATAATTAAAAGAAGAGAAATTAAAAATAAGATAAAATAATATATTTAGGTTTGGTTGGCGGGGCTTAATGACCCATGTATAGATATACAGTTGGATCGACAAATTTCGATCGATATTCTTTGTCGTAGGTAGAAGCCTTCTTTTGGATCACCTATGATTAAATCTAACCTTTTTCCTATTGTTTTGAAAATTTTAGGGCATGGGGTCCAAATGATCCACATGTATCTGAGACTACCGAAACTAACAAAGATTATTAAGGTAGCTATATTTATTTGTTTTTATTTTCAGCTTTCGTGATGAAGTTGACAAAAAAAGATCTGAGAAAACGATCCACACATATATAATCCCAAGAGAGCGTATACCTTGGTTTCAAGGGACTAGCGTCATTCCATCAGGTCTGGCTTGATTATTAGGACTGAGACCAGAGGGTTACAGCGTAGAAGAAATATTTGTGGCTTTCAAGATTCTATTGGTAATCTAATTGATGGGATAGTGCCTGGGCAATCTACCTTTTGAAAAACGACAGTGTGGGGTTGGTGTCCAAGGCTATCGATATCAGTTTCACAAAGGACACATGATGTTGGCGTTACGATTTCACAGTCTAAAAGACCGATAGCTATTCTAACTTCTTCGTTGGTTAATAAACAAGTCTAAATTAGAACTAGGTATAGTTTCTAATCATTCGTAACTAAGGTGTCATATGGCTGAGGCTGGAATTATTTGATCCAGAAAAAGAGTCGTATTGTTGTCATTCTGTATACTCGTGGTTGGGTTTAGGTGGAGAAAGAGCGATGGAATTTTCTTTGAATAGCTTTGATGTGTAAGTAATCGACGCAATGCTATGTCAATGGTAAATTCCAGTCTCCTTGTTTTATGGAATTTGGATATGAGCGACTTGGAGCATTTTTGCTCCAGAGGGTTAATGCTGCCGTATAATATGGATCGATAGTATCCAAGTCTCCAAGTGTGTATTGAAATTTAGCAACTAAGGATAAAATGGCTGAAATGCTTAAGGATATGGGTGAATGGATACCTATACACCTAGCTTTGATGGAAGGACAACTTGCATCCAGGAGAGTGATGAGAATTTATTATTCAAAATAGATTCGAGAGTATTTCTGGGGACATCAAAATTGTTGATAAACGAAAGGCATGTAAAATTTTAGGAATGACTAAAAAAAATTTAAGTAAATAAAAAGCCTAATGAGCAGGTAAATGTTTTTAAATATTTTTCATTCTATTGAATTTGGCAAAAAATTTATCTCTAAGCTAGTTTTGTCCACTTCAATAAAATTTTCAGGTGGGCAGTCCGATTCAAGGGTGTGATAAATTAATTTTAAATTAAATTTATTAATTTAAAATTTTGTTTAAATGTCTGATTGTATTTGCAAATGATATGCAACAATAATATAATTTGCCGTCCAAATAAATTTTCTTTTCTTAAATTGTTGGTTTCATAATTTTGTAACCAAATTCAAGTAATAAACCAATTTTTTAATATATTTCTTTACAAATTTAGCACAATATATTCCATATTTTATCCTCAATTTGCTGGCAATAATATTTCTACACTGGAATTTCATAAGTAATAAATGTATTTTTTTTTAAATTTTACTAAACTAGATCATAAAACTTAGTATAAGGAAAAATAAAGACTTAGATTATTTTAGAATTAAATAATTTTTGTATAAAATACTAAATTAGTAATCATTACTTACTAATAAGGAAAGACAAAGACTATGAAAGAAAAACATTATAATGCATATCAAATATCATTTCCTTCAACAAGAGATTAATCAAATACCCTTCAGACAAATGAATCATGTGCGAAACCATTGATGTAGTTGGATAAGGCGAGAAAATATTATTGATATTGAACTTATAGAAAATTTTATGAAATCCAATAATAACACATTATCTTTATATGATGATTTCCCAAATTTAAAATTACTTTTTATTAAATATAATGTTGTCCTTACATCAAGTGCTTCCATAGAGCGTTTATTCAGTCGAGGAAGCTCATTTTTGAAGAGAAACTAGCGCGTTTTTTAGTAAAAATTTTGAAATCAATTTGTTGTTAAAAACAAATAAATATTTTTTAAACTCTAATTTTTATGAAAAATAAATATATATTTTTATTTCGATGTAAATATAAATATATTCTATTTCCGATATTTTTTTTCGGTTTAATTATTTTTATATATAAATTAAATTGATATTTTTTTTAAATAATTGATTATAATTTGTATATCCTAATTTTTTTTATATTAAATAATTGCGTTTAGTATATAATTAATGCGATATGAATGATGTATAAAGTAACTTATAATATAACTAGTTACTTTTGAAATATAACTGTAACTAATAACTATGAGATGTTCGTGCATCTGTTTCCTCTAGGGGTCTTAGCGGGGTGAACGCTCTGATACATGGCAGCGCCTGTCTACCTATGTCCCCACCCGCTACAGTCCCCATTCACCCGCAAGGTTGCGCTAAGGGACTTCTGTACGAAATACGACAACCAGGCAATTGCCGACAACGGAGGCTACTTCAGAAACCGATTCATCAGATTAGCCTCCAAATATCTCCCTATCATTAACCATTTGGTCGAGGCAGGCGTAATGAACAGACGGACACAACATTCTGTTCTCCCCTCTTCCTCATACCAAAGCAAGATGGGACGCCGAGGGTTATTTCGGATTTTTCAAACGTCTCGAAAAATTTTATCAAATACCCGTTTCGCCTAAAAACCATACCTATAAGTACCCTCCGTGGTCGGCAATTGCATGGTTGTCGTATTTCGGACAGAAGCCCCTTAGCGCAACCTTGCGGGTGGGACTGTAGCGGGTGGGGACATAGGGCGACGGACGATAGATCCAACTAGTTATGTTTCAAAAGTAACTTTTAACAACACTACTCAAGTGCTAGTGTTGAGAGATTACTTAGTTGGGCGAAACTTATACTTTCTGATCGTCGTTCTAGACTTGGGAATATAGTAAAATGATTTTATTATTAAAATGCAACAAAATAAATAAAAAATGAATATTACCATAATTAGTTATTTTTATTACATAAATTGTAGTCTTTTTACAAATTTTTTATAATCAAAATATATTTAAATATTTGATTTTTATGTATTATATACTATACAATTACATTATAAGCAAAAAATAAAACAAATTTATTTCTAAATTTTTTTACAAAAAGTAGCCAAAGCTACTTTTCAAAAATACTAGTTAATAGCGCTCTTACATTTTTTTTGACAAAATAGCGACAGCGCGCTACTTTTAAAAGTAAGGTTTAACAACTCTGAATAGATGTTTTTGTTTACAGTATTGAATTGTGGTTAGAGGTTATTTTACAGAATAATTAATATATTGCTTAAATATCTATAATGATTATTTATAATATAAAATATATTTAAAAAAATTTATTACCATTATTTCTTAACGATAGTGTCTCTATATTTTTTTTTTTTTATTCCCAAAATTATGATAACGAAATAATATTTAAATTCATATTTTAAATTTTTAAATATGGTATCTGATCAGTTTCATCATTATAACTCATTTTTTGCCGATAATATATTAACATCGAAGATTTTTAAAATTATTGTGTTTTCCTAAAGAGAATTTTAAGGGCTAAAAGGTGATGTATAATTTATACATTAGAACCAAATATTTTTTGGTTTGAGATTCTTAAAACCGAGATTGCACTATATTGGATTTCGAGAGCCCATAGCTCCGGAACCATTTATGCCATAGTTATAAAATTTCGATTTTATAATTTTACAACCTATATAACTATATCACTAAGTTTCATTTATTTTTAAAAAGGTCTGTCAAATTGTTGGTCTATTTGACATAGAATCACCCATATGTGGTTGCTTGGTATGGTAATAAATGTTTACTAAATTAATTGGTTATCATCAAAAAAAAATTCCTGTGTTTTGTTATATTGTTAATTAACAATAAAATGTTTAAAATTTTAGATATTCATATCGACACGATTCCCGGTGAACAGGAACAAGTAATACATTTAAAACGAATAATAAATTTATAGCATAACCCTTTGTTATTATGAAGCATTGTGAAACCACATACCATGAGATTATAAAGGGCGACTTCCAAAGCCATAACCAATACCAAAATATTATTAAAAATTCAGAAATTAACGACTTACATACGATTGGCTCCAATATTGATTACGGAAATACTGTGCCTCTCAACGCCTACAAGTACAAGAAACTTATGAAGTAATATTTGTTGATATTTTTTTTGTGAATTATTTATTTTAGCGACGCATTAACAAATATTATAAATGATGATATAATGAATGATTTGCCTATTCCTAATTTAATCACCCATCATAAAAACGATCGAATACCTCTTGACCTGACGTATTCCCCCGATCCTATATTTTTATATAACGAAGTCCCTAATACAATTCAGGAACCTTTCTTTAAGTCTAACGAATCACCCCCGGTAATCGTTCAGGATTCTAAAAAAACTCAAAATCAAGATGACCAGATTAGTAAATATGATTACAGCATCGAAAATTACTCTAATACTAATTGCGAGTTAATAGCGAGTCCTCTAGCGATGACTAATAAGTTGGTTTTTACCGAAGATAAAAAACTCATCGACTCAAACAAGCTTGGGGAAAGAGTAGTGAATGACCGCGAAATTCAATACGAAGGCGCCAAAATTTCAAACAAGTTGGACCAAAGATTCGAGAATGATGGTGATCGACATAATGCGAGAGACCATGGTAGACATTACGATAGGCAGGCTAATGTATCTTACGGCCCTAGGCGACATCTCGGTTCTGTCATTGGCCCGCTTGACAAGTATGTTATACATAATTTTTTGATAGAAAATATTATGATAATTCGTCTATGTAAAATTTTTAAAATATAAATATATTACTATTTTTTATTGTAGTGTAGTAGTGTAGTAGTATTGTATTATATATATTATATTTTAATCCATCATATGTTAAAATATAAAAGGGTTTTAAAAAAAGTTAGGCTTAGCTTCTTAGTAAGGAGACTTCCAATGAAACTGATGTAATTGGATCTATGAATGCAATGGTGAGTCTTTGCCTAAGGTAAAAACCTTCTCTGGGTTCATCAGTGATTTTACGAATAAGAGAACTGAGTTCCTTGAAGAAGGTTAAAGCACGGCTACTAAATATAGCTAATGTAGAGGGGATTATAGGTATAAAAATGTGTTCATTGGATATTTTTGAATATTTATTAATTTGGATAGCTCTTTGATATCCAAGATGTTTGTGCTAAGATGGGCGGATCTATACAGGAATAGTCCCAAATTAGAAATTGGCCTCTCTTCCAAAGATTTTGGATAATGCTACCTGGACATTTCCTTACAGATTTAAAAAGACCTTTAGCTTCTAGGATCGATGGAATCTGCGCAGATTTAAGGGCACGTTGAATAATGGCATTATTGTGTCTAGGAATACGTTCTTTGCAAGAACGGTAGTGCAGGTTATGTCATCCCTTCGAGTCAACAGGAACATTACATCCAGAGCAGAGGTAAAGTTGGGTAATTGAGCAATTGAGACGTATTTCAATGGCATGAGTGATTTCCATTTTTATGAATTGTAATTGAAGATTAACAGAAGGGATACTCGAGGAACTCGTGCCCAGAGCCATTTAGCAATGATGAAAAGAGAGGACGATCTAGTGGTTGCATGCTTGATAGTACAGTTTCGATGACGCAGTAGGCAACAACCAGGAGGATGTCCTACGACGAATCGTCCACAGGAGAGGGAAAATAGATTTTGTTAATAAGCAGCTTGAGATAAAAGTTTTTTAAGCTACATCAGAAGGAGATCTGATGCCTAGACCGAGAGAGAGGTTGAGTTTAAGCATTTTTCCGAACTTAAGATTTTATATTCCGTAAGGTCCTTGATTCCCGTTTCATATACATTCAAAGGATGAGGATATTTAAAAACAGGAATAGTTCTTAGAGTATAAAGAATGCACGGTATATTAAAAAAGTTTTTCAACAGAAAAAACTACCTATGAGAGGAGAGGAGAAGGATATCACCCAATTTGATATAAATCTCAAGGTTTGAATCCAGAAAGGTGTAAAAGGCTGATTATTTGATCTTGATTAATGACCTTAAAATTGTTTGAGATAATTTCAGAACTGTTTAGTTGGATGAATTCTGATTTATTTTTATTGAGAATTAACCCTAAAGAAGAGCCGATCTCTAAAATTAATCGATCGCATTTTTGACCTCATTGGGTGTGCCATAAATATACCATCATTTATGTACCAGATATGAAGAGAAAGAGAGCAGCAGGCATTTATTGCCTTAATCATTTCGTTGATTCCGAGACAAAATAGCAATGGGCCAAGAGGATCACCCTGTTGAATCCCTTCTATAAAATTTATTTTATATAAATTGAAAAGTGGTAGGATATCGATAGGAAGAAATTCGCTATATCCAAGAAAAAGAGTTCGCTCGAGGATTTTAAGAAAGAATTCCCAGAGAGGGTATTAAAGGCATTGGCAAAGTCGGTCTTAATTAAGATTTCAATTAAGGGAATTTCTAAATGAATACGATTTGTGTACTGCAGCCTCACAACCATCAGTAACTCCATAGATAAGTTGAAAAGGACTCAAGATAAGAGTTGCATCATGCTTAATTCTTGAGGAAATCATTTTGGCAAAGGCGCCTAAAAAATGAGTCTATAGCAATTGGCCTGATATCATTATTGGGGTTTTGCACGGCAATAAATAGTGCACCAAAAAGTATGGGGGACTTAAAATCTAACATCACCGGCCAAAATTTTATTGCAGAAGTTGGAGGTTAGGATAAAGAATGGGAACTTATTAATGGAGAGTTAATGTCCTGAGGAAATATAGGACGAATTCCATCCAGTCGATGGGCGGAATCACGGTGGAATGTAAGGATGGCTTTTCTATCTTTTCCTGTGTGAAATCAGTCGCGCTAATGGAGAATGGAAGAGGATCAATAGGATTGATGGTAGAGTTAGGATATTTAGTGCAAAGCTTGATATAGGTATCATGAGAGGCACCGGCTAGTGAATCATAAGTAGTACTAACCTAAGCGCACCTTTGATGTTTAAATTATCAATTTGCCTTGATCACTAAGGGAGAAGCTCTATTTTTTTTGCACAATAATTGGAGGATGAAATACCAAAAGGTATGGATCTTTGTTAAGGGCGGCATCTTTAATTGCTGAGTTAAAGATTTTGGTAATGATTTGTCAGACACTTTGAAAGTATTAAAACCATAAAAAAATCTGAGCCATTCCTTTTCATACTTAAAATTATGCAAGAGGGAGGAAATGCAATCAGAGAAAGTTTTAGCAACCAAAACTAGCTTTTTTAGGGATTCGAGTAATAACATTAGGCTTGGAGGTATAGAATAAGGAGTATCAGGTAGATGTAGGATTACATTATTGATGTTATCGAGTCATTCTTAACTTTTAAAACTATATCATTATTTAAGAACATATATTTGTGTCTATTGCGAAATGTTTAAGGCATTGTGGGCATCTGTTTGAAGGTTTAAGATTATAATTAATAGTTTCTGAAAGTTGTATATCACGGAGAATTACTGATTCAAAATTTGATTTACCATTATTGGGAACAAATCATTAAATAAAACAATCACAACAAATAATTTGTATATTTTATAATTATGATAATAAATTATTTTTATGGCAATACTAATTAAAATAATTTTTTTTGGAAATCTGTTATTAACAATTTTTATAAGTCATTTTCCTAGTCTCCGAACCCTGAACCCTAATCGGGTTGAGGGATTTTTCACTGAACCTAAACTCGAACCCATTTTTTTAGAAGGAGGGTTCACAGCCCCGCGTTTTTTACGTAATTTTTATTTTAACTTTTAATTTTTTAATATTTTTTATAATTTTATATTAAGTTTTTTTTACGTAAATTTTTATAATTATGTTTTATTTTATCTTATTATTTTTATTATATGAGATCACATAATAAAGCATTAGTAAATTAACATATATATTTATTTATACGTTTTTCTTCTTTACAAATGTTACTCAATTTTTTTACAAATATTATTACAATGGCCGGAAAATTTGTACAAAAAAATCGGGGCCTGATTTATCATAAAATAACTAGCCGAGCCGGGAAATTATTAAATAATTTATTGGACCGGGCTAGACAAACAAATGAATAACTGGCCGGGTCGGGCAACTTTTAAAAATCTTAATGAGGACTGATTTGCAATCTTTGAGTAATACTACTAGATACGTGGATGGAACATAATTCGGATGGAAATTCTGATAATTCATATTGAAAGACGCTTTAAAACTATAACATTATCACATAATTGCAATGATATAATAAAAGGAGAGAAATGCTACGAGGCGATAGTCGTTATATCAACTCAAACCACCATCTCTTGTCCGAGAACGAAGCCGATAATGAAAGCTACCAATCAGATGCCTCCTATTATTACTACCCACCAGGGCCCAGGGGCCACCCAGGATATTTGACGAAGTCTAGGACGTTTCACGATCAGGATAAGCATGTATTATTGGATACCTCGACAACGTCTTCTTACAATAGGCGACGACGGTCCAGGTTTGTTTTATCTTTGTATAGAATACTATCAGAATAATAATTTGATTTTAAATTAATATTCCACACAATTACAGATATCAGAGATATTTTCCTGATTCTAGGGAAAGTTCCTTAGCGCCAGCTCCAGATCTCCAAAACAGGGTCTATAACCGAAGTATTAGGGAAGGTCCGGCCAATTACAATACCGACGTTGAATACGATATGTATCACCGAGTCAAAAATAGTACGACAGGCATAAATAAGAATAGGAATGAACATTCTAGAGGGCGCGGGAGAGATTATCAATATTTGGACGATAAGTATTATGAGAGGAAAACATGCAACGATTCTGAGATTGTGGTTACTTCTATTTAAAATTATTTATTCCTTATTTTTATATGATAGGGCTTCAACGATCCGATTTAATATTTGCCGATATTTATTTCAAACGTCACCGATCCGATACCGATATTTACATTGATTTTTTTGTCATTTTTTAAAAGCGTTTTAATAAGAATATTCGCTTATTCCGGCTCTTAAAAATTTAAAAAAGTTTCAAAGCTTTAAAATTTTAAAAAATATGGCTTTAAATTTGTAGAAGGGTTTTTATTTTTAAGATATATAGGGAAAAATCTCTTATCTTATTCAGTTATGACCCTTTAGAGAATAAATAACACTGTGTGACAAGAAAAATGGGAGAAGAAAATAAAAACAAGTTTTGGTGCAGAATTTGACGCTGAGTTCGAGTCCGTTTTCCAAATTTTCCCTACACGTCAAGTTTTAAAAATATTACCGTATAAAGACAACTTTTCGAAATCTCAAAAATGGTAAAATTTAGGTCTTTATACTGATATATTTTAAAAAGTATCGAATAAAAATCCCTGAAAATTGGTGATAGTGTTAAACTTATATTTCTTTATAAATTTACTAATTTTTATAATTTTTTATCGATTGGTTTTTGAGAAAAATGGTAAAGAATTTCGTTTTGGGGGTCTTAAGTTTTCAATTTAAATTACTATCAAAATTATTAATTTTAGAAGATAAATTTTATATAATTTTGCTTCAAATATGCTCAAGATTATATATTAATTCTAATTATGTTTCAAAAGTACTCTATGCCATGAAAATTTAACCAAAATCTATAAATTAAAAAAGTCGGTACAGATATTTTCGAACTTTTTAATTTGTACTTTTATTGAATTTTCTCTGCATAAAGCATTTTTAAAGCAAAATTAAGGTAATATTTATCTTTTTTAGCTGTATTTAGTAATATTTTATGCATTTATGATCAATTTATACCAAAATCAGATATCTGTACCCACTTTTTTAATTTGTACTCTTTTTGAATTGAGCATTTTTGAAACAAAATTCATTTAAAATGCATTAATTGGTAATTTTTTCATATTTTTTATTAATATTTATCTTTTTTAGATGTATTTAAGAATATTTGTTTTTTTAATCAATTTATATCAAAATATATGATTTTCCAATGGAGTACCTTGAACCCATAGTATGGGCAATAAATAATAATGTCAAATAAAGAGTAGGAAGAAAGGAGAAGAATTATTTTTTTTTGCGGCTATAATTTTTCCTAAACATTTAATTTCATTCATTAATTTTTTTTGAGAACGAAAGCCACAATAAATAAATATATTAATATTAAAAAAGACTTTATAAATAAAGGTAAATTTAAAAAATATAGGTTGTTAAATTGAGTAAGGATTTTATAAAAAAAAATGTATAATAATAATAAGGAAGGTTTGCTGCAAAAATTAAGATATTTTTTTAGTTGTAGGGATCATTAGAACGTTATAAACCTTCAAAAAGTGCTAAAAATGACCTTTTTGGCCACTTTAACCTAAAATAAATAAAAAACCTGACGTGCTAGAAAAAAACTGACAGCGGATTTATAATATGCATAAAAAACTGTCTTAAACATGTTTATTTTATTTTCTCCCAAAAAATCAAGTCGAAATTTGTCACACAGTGTAATTATACATTGACTTCCATATCATTAATGATAATCAGAAATTTACTAATTTATTTTAACCTTAATACAAATAAGTATAAATTATATATCGAACCGATATTAATATCTAAACCTTTATAAAATTTTAAATTAAAAACTGAACCGCTATACTAAACGGCCACTGTATACAGATCTCTGATATAAAGAATGGAATAAACAATAGACAAATAAAAATGCACAAAATTTGGGTAATATTTTATGTTAGTTTATTAATATCAGAATTTGAAAGTTCGCACCGGGCCATATTTTATTTTTTTATATATACCCAGGGGCAATATATTTAAAACCAAATATTTTAATTGTTATTAACCATAAAAATTAAAAATAAATATAATATTTTTTAAAATAATCCGGCCGAAAATATAAAATCCGGATAAGCCCGAAATTTTTTTAATCCGGGCCGTGCCGTGCAAATGGTACCTCTGCAGGTCTCTAATTAATGTACTTTATTCTTCTATCATTAAAAAATGTAAGAAAAACATACATTTTTATTTTATAACATTTTTTATGGGAGTTAGGAAGATATATTACGAGAAAGGGAAATTAGTTCAAAAATAAATATGCATAAAATCGGTATCGATAAAATTTTTTAAAAGTCCGATATCAGCGATGATCCTATACCGATATTTAATATAGTACAGCCTAAATATAAAATATACTAATATATAAGTTACTGCAATTTCAATAACTTATTTGTTTATAAATGTTTTATTTTTCGTTAATTAAAATCTAACAAATTTAGCCAATTATTTTAAAGCTATAGCTATCTATATAAAATTTATTCGTGGGAAAATATTGAATTACGGATCCCCTTAATTTCTTCCATAGTTTATCCTAGAAATTAAAATTTTTTATATACTGAAAAATATTTAAGATATAATAATTCGTTTGTAATTTTTATTTTAAAAAGTTAATTTTTTTAAAAACTTTTATCCAACAGAGCAACGAAAGATACAGGCATGGTCGTCCTCTCGTCTATGATAAGCGTTGGCAAGAGGATGTTAATAATTACACAGATGTTGAAATCAGCAAGAACGATTTCGATAAACCTGGTTACAGAAAACCTAGCTATATGTTAAGGTTGGCAATTTTGTGATGGACTAAACTGCATTATAAATTAATTCTATTTGACTATTTCTTATATCTTAATTAAAATCAGTATTGGACTTCGAAATTTGCTTTTTTGAACCTTAATCGGTTATGACATTGCCCTTTAAGGTTATTGAACTTAGTAGCTCCCAATGCTTGGGTCATCTATCGGTAGCTAAAATTCTTTTAAATTTTTTTTTAAAACTAATGGAATGGCTGAGAAGCTACGTTTTCTTTTTTAAATATTTAGAGCGGCAGTCCGCTCCTTTTAAACCTCATTTTGGGAATTGGAGCTAGGTTATTTTAAAAGGATAGCATTAACAAAGATGAAAAAAAAGCATATGATAAAGTTAAGTATTTATTAATACAAAATTCTAATATTTTTTATATGAAGATTATATTTATTAGCATTATACTAATAATACAAATTTTACTAGACTGAATATAATAACTTTCCTTGTCAATATGGAGGGCTCTGATTAAAAAGAATTTTTTTTTGTCAAATGAAACTAATAAAAATTTATATAAATATTTATTTGATAGAATATGAAGGTTGTTAATTCAATATACAATTATTCTTGCACTGATTTTTATGTATACATAAATGGGCTTATTTTTCAATTAAGTTAATGTTCATTTAGTCCCATTTTAATTTTGAAAAAAATGCAATATTAAAAACTTGGTAGACATATTTTCCTACTTATTTGATAAGAAAATCTAATATATAAAAGCATTTAAATTGGGATTATTTAAGGATTTTATATTGGTTATCAGGGTAAAGAGTTAGATTCTACATTTAGATATTTAGCGAATACATGTATATTATAATCAATTATAGTAGAAGATATACATGGATATTAACTGCCCGAAGACTGGATAAAAACGGCTGAAGGCCCGCCAAGGAGCATGGAGGCTAATCCTCCCATAAATTATGCACAAATCATTTTGAAAAATTTATATTTTTTTTAAAAATAAATTTGCATTTTCTAGCACCTCCTTTTGTAAAAATTTACAACGTCCATTACATTTACTATTATTATTATATAAATATATTTAACGAATAGTACTAATTAATTTTTAATTTAAAAAAAAATATAGAAGATTCGATGAAGATGCTCCCATAAGACGGGCACCTATCAGGGAAGATAGAGAATCTATCTCATCCTCTTCATTATGGGCCAAAGAAGGAAGCTTAAATTATCGTGATAGACATCAAAATGAGGATAAAGGTTTTTTAAATTAATAAATGAAACGATTAATTTTTATATTTAAAACTAGGATATCAAAGGCGTTTATTAATTTATTAGCTGATAACCTGTCAAGAATGACAGGGTATCAACTTCTTTTATTTGATGATGGATGAAGCAAAAATTTTCCCTTTATTTGATGATGTATGAATCAAAAATATATAAATTAGAATTGTGCTAATATTTTGTTGAGAGGTGATTCGTAAATTTTATATTATTCAGAGATATGCAGATGTACTATTTGCACAGGCCGGCCCGGATTTAAAAAATTTTTGGCCTGGGCCGAATTTTTTATTTACAAGCTCAGCCCGAATTTTTTCAAAATATATTTTTAATTTTTATAGGTAATAATGGCGATTTTAAATATTTGGGTTTAAAATTTACGACCTGGCCTGGGTTTTTAAAAAAAAATTTGTTTAGGCCTGGTCCTATTATATTAAAAAACTAAGATACGACCAGACCCGTGTACCTGGGCTTAAGGCCGGGCCTGAATGTCTGATATTATTATTAAAATATGTAAGCAAAGTAAATATTTAATATTTTCAACTATGCAAAATTTATTTAGATAATAATCATATTATTTTTAAGATACGAATTTCATAATATCTCAAATATTTTCTTCACATACTCAATAAAATATTTTTGACCTTTATTTTTTCCAATATTTATATCTGTAATTTATTTTCTAAAAATATTTAATCTTGCTTAGGTTTTGAATATATTGTTTTCTTGAATTCTTAGCATAAGCATTATATATGCTGGAATACATTTACAGTCAAATCAAAATTTAAAAATAACCTTCAGTAAATTATCTGCAATTGAGACATTCCTAATCTCTTATATTCCTGCACAGCGCCATATCTTTGATTATTTCAATTGTATATATAGCTGATGAGTATTTTTAAGGAATATATTATATTAATTAAATACTGTTTATTTGTTATTTTTTAGGAATATTTGTAATGGAAAGTGTTTGAGCTGGATTTTAAAGGTTTAAACCAAACCGTTATTATTATTTATGACCCGAACTTAAACCGTATAAAATCCGAACCAACATAATATTCCTTACGGTTCGGATCTCTATGTTCAATCTCGTTAAAACTTTTAATAGTAGTATTATCAATTCGAAAAGATCGACATTCACTAAATTTTTAGAATGATCTTAAATATTTTATTATGCTACTATTTAAATGTTATCAAATCTTAAAAAATTCATACAGAATAAAGGGATAATTATAGTAAAACGATGCCCCATCTAGTGTTATTAATTTGCTTGGTCGTAAAATTTACCACCCAATTTGGTGCTCAGGCCTACTCTCAATACTAAACCGTGGTTCAGAACTGGGGTCCAGACCCGTAGTTTAGACCTGGTATCTAGACCCGAGGTTCGGATGAATAATGTTGTTTCAAATATTTTAAAAATTATTTACCAAAAGTAAAGAAGCATCAAAACGCAATGGAGATTTCTGGGGTTAGATAGTAAAGCCCTGCAAGCAACTCAGCTGCTAAAAATTTTCTAATCGGGTCGAATTAGAGCTTAAAAATACCAAAAAATAGGATTAAAATGAATTATTGTGTTGGTTAGCCGAGCGATTATTTCCAGCCAAACCACTTTTGCAACGATTCGAAAAATCGCTTTTTTTCTAAATAAAGGATAGATTAGAATTTTTCTGGGATTAAGACAAGGACAATTAGTATAAATATAACTTTTTATAAAAATTAAAATGCTTTTTACTTATATTTTTAAATTTAAATATTTTCGGACTCAGGGCTAAAAGGAAGATTTTACTGCATAGATGGATTTTGCTTAAAAATCTTTTTTGAAGATATTTTGTACGACTCAGAACAAGATTCCAAATTTTTAGTGATTTAGAACTTATCCCTTAACATTTATTTTTAATATATTTCTTTTTAAAAAAATTTTAAATATAAAAATAAGCAAAAATACCGAATTTAATTTATTTATGTTTTTTGTTTTATATGTATGGTGCCACATATATAGAAAAAATAACTAAATAAAATTATTATATTAGATTTATTTCATTTTTAAAATTATAGATTAAGAAAAATTAATTTTGGTTTATATACAGGGGGGGGGGGTAGCGTAGGGATTATTATTTTGTGTTTTTTAAAATTTATTTAAGTTATTTTTTTCTTAACCCTTCCCTCAAATATTTATTACAATAAATAATTTAGAAGTGTTTTTTTTTCTTCTATTCATTCATATAATAATTTTTTATTTTAAATTATTGTCTTTATATAAACTAAATTATCCTAAAAAAATAATGATCACCATATAAAAATATGATAAATAAAAATGAATGTCAAAACTCAAAAGATAACGCAGTCTAACAAATTTTTATTAAGTTTGATGATTAAAATATCGTCTAAAGTACATTGGTAGTTCGTAATGAGGTTACTTACTGCTAGTGCACTGAAGGATCACTCCACCGTTACTTGCAAGCAAGGAGCAGCTAGAACTACTCGCTAGAAGGTGTATAATAAGTTTATTGAAATTTTTTGGATAGCCAATATTGCTAAATATCTTGATCGAAAGGCAATTTTTGGCTATTTATTAATTAATGATCGTCGTAATATCTATTAGCGGATAAGGGTTAAATATCAAATAATACATTTCGGCTCAAAATTAAATCGAGCCTACTATTGGGACGACTAGAGCCACCCAAGTTGTGATCGGGAACCCAAATTAAAAACTAGAGGACGAGTAGTCCAATATTCACATAGAAATAATTATCGTATTAAAAAAAGATAATATTAGATTTCTTTTTTTATAAAATGTTCTTATCTTTATATAAAAATATTGTATATTTTTACTTTACACTAGCAAATCGAGTCGCAAACTCGAGTTGTGATCGATAACCAAATTTAAGAAATACAGGACGAATAATTCATATTAATTTATAATTAACATCGAATTCGAAATAATTATTTTATAGAAATTTATCGATTTTTAGATATTTATAATTCATATATCAACAAAAAAAAAATGCTGGTAATATATATTGATTTAATTAATAATTTTCGAGGTATGGCCTAAAGTCGTAAAAATTGGCTAAGGCTCAAACCAACTAGATGAGTTGGCATTGGTCAGCTCAAGAGTAGGCTCTAGTTGTCCCAATAGTTGGCTCGATTTAATTTTGAGCCGGAATATATTTATATGTTATTTAGTTCTTATCCGATAATAGATATTACGGCGATCATTAATTGCTTAATAAATAGCCAAAAATTGCCTTCCAATCGAAATATTTAGCAATATTGACTATCCAAAAAATTTCAATAACCTTAATTATACACCCTCTAGAGTAGTTCTAGATGCTTCCATCTCGTAAATAACGATGGGGAGGTACTTCAGTGCACTAGCAGTAAGTAACCCCATTACAAACTAGATTGGATAATGTACTTTTGACGATATTTTAATCATCAAACTTAATGAAAATTTATTAAACAAAGAGTATAATTTAGTTTATATAAAGACTATAATTTAAAATAAAAAATAGATAAATGAGAAAAAGAAATTTTAATTCCTAATATTATTATCTGAATGAATAGAAGAAAAAAACACTTCTAAATTATTTATTGTAATAAATATTTGAGGGAAGGGTAAAAAATCTTGATAATAATCCCTACGCTCCCCCCTATATAAAAAATCAAAATTAATTTTATTTATTTATTATTTTCTATATGTGGCACCATACATATTAAACAAAAAACATAAATAAATGAAATTCGTATTTTTGTTTATTTTTATATTTAAAATTTAAAAAAAAAATGAAATATATTGAAAATAAATGTTAAGGGAAATAGGTAAAAATTTGGAATGATCTAAGAGTTGTATAAAATATCTTCAAAGAAGATTTTTAAACAAGATCTATCTGTGCACTCACATATTCCTTTTAGCCTTGAGTCCGAAAATATTTAAATTTAAAAATATAAATAAAATATAAAGTTAATACTAATTGTCCTTGTCCTAATCCTATAAAAATTCTAATCTATCCTTTATTTAGAAAGAAAGTGATTTTTCCAATCGTTCATTAGTTGTATGGCTGAAAATAATCGCTCGGCTAACCGACATAATAACTCATTTAATCCTATTTTTTTTGGTATTTTTAAGCCTAGGTAGACCCGATTTATTTTTTTAAACCCGAAACTGAGTTGCACGGCTTTACTATTTAACCTCAAAAATGCCACTGCGTTTTGCTGCTCTTTACTTTTGGTAAATAATTTGTTTTTGAACTATATGGAATGGCATTATTCATCCGAACCTTGAGTCCGGACACCGGGTCTGTGCTCGAAGGTCATGCTCAGAGCTGATTTAGTCAATTTTGACTCAAACCCCGGGTCTGCAATTACAATTAACAATACTACATCCATCTAAATTAGTAAATAAAACTCCCGCTCAGCCTTTTCAATGAATCAATGTAAATTTAACTATTATACTATGTCTAGCTAGCAAGAATTCTCAAAATTTTTATCGGATCAAATTGGCCCCATCATTCATTTTTTAAATAATAAATTTCCCAATTATATATATATACTAGCTGATATCTGGTCAAGAATGTCGGGGATTCAGAATTTTCTCTTTTATTCAATGATGGATGAATTGAATGAAATTAATTGTTAGGATATGATAAACTAAAAAAGAAATATATCTGCTTCACTTTACCCTTATGACAGCAATTCTTGAATCTGCCATCTGAGGGTTTTTCCAAAGAACAATTTAGAGAATCACAACATTGGCACTTAGTGTTGAGCAAGCCACGATAATGTTCTTGTACCAATGATTGTTGTGCAGGAATATCTCTCTAAAATAAAGGATATAAATTATAATTACAATTTAGTACTTTTATAAATTAAATAAATCGGAGGCCTACTAAAAATTATACATACAATTTAATATTTTTGTAATTAAAACAAATTAGAAACCTGACCTGGCTCTGTTTATAAACATATGCCAGGCCTATAATAATTTTTTTTTAATATTCTTGCTGGGCAATTTCTGATTCCCAAATTTATTATTTATCCATCATTGAATAAAAAAAATATTCTGAAAGCCCGTTATTCTTGACTATTAAAAATAAAATAAGTTTAAAAAAATATTACTCTGTCTAACTCCTATACTATGGTGGTTATCTCTATTATTCGATTTATTTCTCAAAAAATGGAAACATTAAAACATTTTAAATATAGCGAGTTATCATGTGAAAATGAATTGTCATGTGATAAAATGTTATTAATAATCATGGGTGTTAGTTCTAGTATATTTTACTAAATATCAAGGGCGTTAGTTTCAGTCACGGCATATAAGATGTTTATATGTGAATTGAAAGTAAATGAATGAATGTTTGAATTTGGTATGATATTATCATTGGACAAAATAAGCTATGAGGATTTTTATTGGACGAATTTTTTAAAAGAACACTATTGGTTTGATTGACGTTGTGACACGGCTTTTATATATTATAGATACACCACATAATATTATTATAAATTGGATTTCTTCATATCAATCATCGGCCGATATCAACGTGATATCAGATTGAATCGGTTAAATATTGGTATTTGTAAAAAATTCACCTTAAAATGAATATATGTTTCTTTTGTTATATAATATTTGTAGCCGATAACTTTCAAAACATATCTACCAACCAATCACCTCTTAAAAAACCAGTCAGTACAGCTAACAAATCTAAAGGCAAGCTCGATAAAAAACAATTTCCCTATAATAAAATTGACGACGCCAATAACCCCAATGTTTCCAATTTTTTCCCCAATTTTGGTAATATGAGCAACTTAGACCCCAATTTCAATTTAACCGCTATGACCAATATGTCTATGTCTATGAATCAAGGTGGTGAAACGAATAATAGTTCACCTTATTGGCAACAATATCAATTGATGGCCCAAAACTATTATTCAAATTATTATAAGATGATGGCCTCGAATTACCCTCAAGCTATGAATTTTTATTTCCCCAATGGTTTAAATCCGTAAGCATTTTATTAAATAATTAATGAAAATGCAAAAAATAATCTAGTGACAACATTTACATGCTGGCGACAATTTTTAAGATCCTAAAAATCTCATTTTTTTGCAAAACTATTCTTAGGGTTACCAATTTGATGTCGTTCTAGGAAGATATAGTTATTATTTCATCGATTTTAAGTCTGCTTATGTTTTTGAAATATGAACCGTTTTACTAAAACAAAAGTAAACAATAATAGGATAAATTTACTAATTGACAATTTTTTATAATCAAAGTTAACCTGGATAAAAATGGTTTCGGTTCTGAATATTTGTTTTTAAAGGGGGTTCTGGTTCTTAAAATTTTGGGAAATGGGTTCTAGTTTCGGCTCTCAAATTTGACACGATTTTTAGAACTCCAGGTTCTAGTTCCAGCTTCAAACTTTGTTAAAGCAATAAAAAAAAATTAACAAAAAATAAACCCTAGAACGAAAGGCACATTGATACAAAATATTATATTTGTTAGAAATCCATAACTGATTCTTATAAATTTTAAAAGAGGGTTTTAGGTTCTTATTTCGGATCCTAGATTTTTTCCAATTTCAAACTCTGGTTGTAATTAATTATATTTTGTTGCACCAAGATTTCTCTCACTATTACATTGGATAATCATTTCTTTATGCTTTAAATTTTTTCACATATGATTAGCTCTATAATTATATTTATATATTAGAATTAATAAAGTTGCATGTACATTGTTTTAAATATTATACAAAAATATTTATCGCAGCCTCCACATATACATAAAACGTTTTAAGTAAGTTTAGATACAACATTATCTGTGATATTTTAACATGTAGTTAGTGGGAAATTTTGGTTCAAATTGTATATATTTATATTTGTGCATGTTGAAAATATTTATTTTGTGCATCATAATTAATATTAAAGTATGACCATTAATTATAGACGCTCCCACGGAGTTTATTGCTTATCTTTCAAAAAAAATTTGTAGGATATTTAGAACGCTTTAAAATTTATTTTGCTTTTATTAAATCATAGAAATAGCCTTATTAATATAGAAATGATTTGTTTAACTAGCTATAAACAAGTGTGTAGTATTGTTACAAACATAATGTTTAAATTAGAAACAACTATCTTTCAGAATATAGTTTTGGCCTGAATTTTATCAACTGTTAAAACAATGTTAAATTCTGTATTGTATATGATAGTGCTAACAAAGATTTGTTTTTAGATGGGGTTGATATAAAATATTTAGTTACATATAATTATAATATATTGCATCTCATGGTATGGGTAGAGTGACTGAATATCTTTATAAACGTTTTATATTTCAAATTATTCTAGGATGGATAACTTAAATGAAACATTGGAGGAAGGTATATTAAATTACATCATTTATAATACAACTTATTTCATTTAAATCAGTTATATATATATATATATGTTTATCACTTTTTTATTAAGAGTGTAATCAAATAAGAATTTAAAAAACTCGATTTTATATTAGAATCGGAAACGGAAGATGACAGCGGGGAGGAAGAATTGAAAGTAGAAACTACATGCCAGGAACCTCATTTTTACACTAGACCCCACACGATAGCTAGATTTTGTCCTAACGGAAAGTTGATTATTTATACTCCTACCCTTAAATATGATGAAGGCTTAGTAAGTTCACTTGATAATCAGGAGCTTAAGGAGGAGGAAAAGCTGAGCTCCAGTGAAGTACCGATAGAAGGCAGAAGTAAACTTTTATCTCTCGAGTCGGGCCAGACTCTAAAGATTATCGATATTCAGGTTATTGATTTTTTTAAATTAAAAATGTTACTTTTTTAGATCATAATATTTAAATCTAGCAAATAAAACATTATCATTTTATATTATTAGTTTAATTTTTATAGCAATATTATTATTATATTATTTTTTTTAAATATATAAAAAGGCATTCTTTAAAGATATAAATGGCTTTAAAAAATTTCCTGGACCATTGATAAAGTATGTTTATTTAATTTAATTATGTATATTATAACTTACGAATTTAAATAATAATTCAATCAGAACATTTTACTTTATCACTCAATCAATATAAAAATTAAATCAAATTTATTTGTTTCAACAATTACTCACCCTATATCATACTTTATCACCTTTCTTAAGAACCGAAACTCATAAAGATGACTTAATCAGATATTGTACAGACCTTATCCCAAGCTTTCCCTCTTTCCTTTCTTCCCACATTAACGCAAGCAGATCAGAATCGACAAGTTCATCTGTAAATTCGTCGAGGCATAATATCGCCTCTTCTTTTAATGCTAATGACGAAAAGGAATCACAAAATCTTAACGCTTGTGCTACCAACATAACTTCAAAAATATCTCCCAATTTTAGAGAGTCATTCCAGCTGTTGGTACGGTATTTGTGTCTATCCGTTAGCCAAAATGGGGTTATTTATTTTATATACATAATTTTTATCGATTGCTTATGAGATTCTTCAACAAATAGCATATTATAACGATTAAAAATGTTAGCTGAACGTGAAAATACACTGTATCTGACCTCCCGCGGAAAAAATTAAAAGGACAACTACTTACTTTCACAACTCTTCTTCCCATAATTGGTGTAGGGATTTTCTTCTGATTAATTGAGATTTGTCTCAGATTAGCTTTGAATGTTATTGTATTTCATGATCTAATTATTATTCAATTAAAATCAGCTTAATTTTAGAAATTTCTAAATAAGTTTATTTGCATAAAATAATTTTGTGCATCAATGGGATTACATAAAAATATATTATAAAATAATCGAAATAATTATATTTTTTTCTTTTTAGCTTTCATCTTTTTCAGGTGGTAAGCTCCTTCAATATCTCTCTACATTTATGTTATTCATGTTATCTCTTTTATATAATTTATATCTTCATATTGGCTCTAATTATGACCTCATTGAAGTTTTGGCCTTCCTCTTTTACATTTGCCCATCACTTCCAAACTCTTAACCTTATTTCCTATATAGTTTATAGGCTTTATGTGCTCATACCATTTAAGTCTGTTCACCATTATCGTTTTAATAGGCACTACCTTTAAACTTCCTAGTATTCATGTACTTCGTACCTTATCTTTTCTTGATACCCCAATAATCATCCTCAGCATTCTCATCTCCATAGTTTGTAGACTTCTCTTGTCTGATTCTTTGGTTGGTCATGTTTCCGGATTATATAGAATAGTTAATGGTTCTATGGAACTGTAATTTTTCCCTTGAATTTGTGTGGGATGCTTTTGTCAAAGAGCACTCCAGATAAAGATCTCCACTTTAACCACCCTTGATTAATTTTACTCTTTATATCTTTTTCTATTGTGCCGTTTGTTTGTATAGTGGAGCCCAAATATTTGCAGCTTTCAATTGCCGATATCTGTCATTCATTTATATCAATGCTCTCTGTTTCATCTCATCCTATCGCCATATACTCCGTCTTTTCTTTATTTACTTTTAGTCCGTGCTTTTCTAGGATATTTATTCAACTCACTAATCTTTCTTTCATTTCATCCTTGGATTCGGCAAGTATCACAATATCATCTGCAGATATCATATTCCACCTGGCTATTTGCGTAGACTGTGATAATACATCTATTACTGTTATGAAGAGAAGTGGGCTGAGAGCCGACCCTTGATCAACTCTCTCGGCTATTGTGAAGCCTGCTGAAGTACCAGTTGTGCTACGGACCATTGTTTTATGGCCCATATACATATCCTGTATTCTTATATATTTTTAGGGAACCTTTTTGTGGTGTTGCACCCACCAGATAAGTTTTCTTGGGATTCTTCGAAGGCATTTTCTAGATCGAGGAAGACCATGTGTAGCTTTTTGTCCTTTTCTCTGTATTTTTCACTCATTTGCTAATTGCGTGGATTGCATCAGTCCTTGATATTCCAGGCATAAAGCCAAACTGAGTCTCTCCTATTTCGACTTTCTCTCTTAACCTTTTTTCTATTATTTTTCTTAAACTTTAAGACAGTTTAACATTAATTTTATTCCCCTGTAACTTTGACAATTGTGTGGATCCCCTTTATTTTTGAAGATAGGAACTAGATAGCTCTGCCTCCATTTTTGAGGAATATCATCGTTTCCCAGTATTTTATTGTACAGATTTGTGAGGAAATGTATACCTTCATCTCCTAGTGCTTTAAGGTTTTCTATTGGAATATCATCAGGACCCCTAGCTTTGTTGTTTTTCATATATTTGAGGCATGTGATTATTTCTTGTTCCGTTACTGGTTGTATAAGGTTTTGACTTGGGTAGTGTTCATCTAGATGTAGTATGTGGGGATTGAAGTTGAGAAGCTCCTGAAAATATTCTTTCCATCTATTCATTATTTCTTTTTCCTTTATTATCAATTTCCCATCTTTATTTTTGATTACTTTCGGAGCTCCATTTATATCCCTAGAATTCTTTTCTCGCTGTTTGGCCTATCTGTATACTTTATTTTGCCCTTAGTATGTAGTTCTTCGTACATGTCATCGTATGCCATTGCTTTGGCCTTAGCCATCCCCTTTGTAGCTATTCTCTTGGACTTTTTGTATTTTGTCTTGTCATCTGGGTTTTTGGATTTGTATAGAGGGCTTTTTTTCTTGTATAATAGCTTGTACCTCTTCATTTCACCACCATAGTTCTTTGTGTGATTTGTTGCCTCTCCTTGTCAAGCCTAGTGTAAATTTGGCAGGAATCTAGATGAAAGGTCTGTCCACATTTTTTCACTAACTTGTGAGGAATCTATTGTTTCGATGTTTGCATTGATTGCAAAGGCATCTGTCATTGATTCTAATCTACCCCATTTGATGCATGGTATTTGTGAGGTGTAAATCCATGACTAGTAACTTGTGTTGCCTAGCACCTGGGATGACTTCGCAGTCTATTACATCTTTTAATCTTCTGCTAGAGATTAGCATTTAATCTATCTGGGTTTTCCTTGTACCTCTTTCATATGTTATTAAGTGACTGTCCTTTTTCTTATAGTAGGTGTTGGCTAAGGCAAGGTCGAAGGCTTGCTCAAATTTCAGTACATGCTCTCCTTCATCATTTTTATTAGTGTTGTTAAACGGCTCGTTTTGAGCAGATTTTTAAAAACTGCTAACACAATATTTCATTCAGAAAAATACTACGCAAGCCTGAAGATTTTGCTAATAGAAGGAACAAAGGTGTAGACATATATTAACTAAATCTCGAGGTTTAGGCAATATTTTTTCTGCTAAAATATTGAGTTAGCCGTTTTAAAAAATCGGCTCAAAACTAGCCGTTTAACAACACTAATTTCTATCTCCATATCCAAAACCACCATGATGTCTTTTTTAGCTGGCTCTTGCTTTCACATGCGCATTTAAGTCTCCACCTATTATGACTAGGTCATTTTTAAGGATTTCCATTATAGCTTCATCAAGGATAGCTACAAAGTTATCTTTCTCCTCTTCTTTGCAACACGTATGAGGAGCATATAGTGAAAGAATGTGTAGTATTGATTGACCAATGCAGAGTTTTTTTCATTAGTCTATCAGAGATCCTGTTAACTTCTACCACTAAGAAGGTTAGATCTTGATTGAGGATTATTCCTATTATTAACAATTTATAGTACAATTTATACCCATCTCCAATCATCTGACCATTCCATTTCATCTCTTGTATGCATGCTATATCAACTTTTCTCTTGTTCAACATGTATGCTAATTATCTCATTTTACCTTTAAGTGTACCAATATTCAAGCTTGCTAACCTTGTTTTCTTTGCTTTGACCTTTATTTTACTTAGGATGGAGGTCTACACCCTGCGCGTCGCTTAGGGAACTTCCTAGCTTTCATATTTATATTTTTGTTTGATTCTTTCATTTGGTTTATTGGACAAGTATTCTAGCACCCGGCTCTCCAAGCCTGTCGGAGGCCCGGGTGGCATTTCTAAGCTCAGATATTCATCTTATCATATGTCTTTACACATCAGTCATCGAAGAAAAACCTGAAAACTTTTAAAGTTCCTTATCAGGATTGAACCTGGTACCTTCGGCTTCCAAGCATACATCATAAACCCACTAAGCCACCCCGGCACAAAATAATAGAAATAATATATTTTTTTTAATAAAAAGAATATTTATAAATGAATAAAAGCAAGTTGTGATTTGTTATAGAAAATATTTTTTTCATATTAAGGAATATATAAACTTGCTTAGCCATGACGCCCATTAATTATTAAAACAACAAAACATTTTTTTCATATATATTTAAATATTAATTGCTTAGATATAAATTATTCTTATTAAGATTATTTTTATTATTTTATAATATATTTTTAAAGAATGGTAAAATAGGGAATTTTTTAAATTATTTTTTTAGTATGATGTTCAAAAATGGGAACAAAATATAAAAAGTTCCTATTCGAAAACAACGGCAAACCCTGTATTTCGTATAATTCGCTAATCCTGAATATTTGCAAAACTACCCAAACCTGTGTCATTTAATTTTTTTCACCCACTCTTTAACCGGCCTCTAAATTAGTCTGTGAATCTCTTTTCATATTCCAAAAGTTTTAAAGAATACTATCAATCAATTTTAAATGGTTGATCAGTATCAGTTGCCATTTTTACAGTAGATATTTTTATATAGATAATGAATTCTGGTAATTTCTGTAATTTATAAATTAGGATATTTATATGTACAAAAAATATATAGTTGCTTTATATAAAAGATTTAACGAACCGAACCTGACCATAACTCTTATTTTATCTGAACCTTAACCAAGTTAAAATTTTACTGTTCAGATTTAAATTTGATATTTAAGGCAAATTTTTTATGACTGGTCATATTTCTCTCATTTTTGGTAGTTCACTAAATACATCATTTATATAGGCGGTAGTGGGGGCAGATGTTAGCAAACTCTTGATTTCTTCTCTATCCGATAAAATATCTTTCGAAGATCTGTCACAAATGAATAACCTGACTTTACAAGATAATTCTACTATTACCACCCTAAACTTTTCCAACAAATTTAGAGAATTATTGCTTTGTGGACATCAAAAGGTTTTATTTGTTTGTTTATATATATCAGAGACCTGCAGAGATATCATTTGTACGGCCCGGCCCGGATTTTTTTTCAAAGTTAATTTTTGGCCCCGGCCTAGGCTTTTTTTTAAAAAAATTTTCAGGCCCGGCCCTGATTTTTAAAATATATTTTATTTATTTTTGATTTTTATAGCTAATAATGGCGATTTAAAATATTTGGTTTTAGAATTATTATTTTTTTAAATTTCCAGGTCTGGCCCAGCCCGAGTATATTTAAAAAAATTAAAATACAGCCCGGCTCGTGTACCGAGGTCGGGCCTGCAGGTTATATATTTTTAAAAAATGAAATTAATTAAATTACATTTTAATTTTTCCAGGAAGCTTTGGAATTCGCCGTTAAAAATAGTCATTGGGGTCACGCTTTATTCATGGCATTAAAAATAGACAAATCTTTAGTGAATAGCATTTTTAACAAGTAATCAACAAAATATAAAACTATAGTTGTTTTTGTTTGTAAAATTTGTTCTACTTCAATATAATATGTTCTTTTCTATATTCACTAGGTTTATTAATACTATCAGTGCCAAAGACCCTATCTTAACCTTTTATCAAACAATCGCTGGTCGAGAATCGACCTATTTAAACGTAATTTTTTTTTAAATTTTATTTTGTTCCCTGGTTCACATTATTTTATAGTTTGTACAATAAAATATTGAAAATAAGAATTTAGAAATATTTTTATTTTATTTAACATTACTATGAAATTGTTAGATCTAGTTTTAATGTTTTAACCGAGGATAGTTTTATTTTTAAATTAAATTTTTATTTCCAAAAAAATTATTAATTATATATATATATTTAATTGTAAAATTTTAATCAAATATTGTTTTTTATCTTAATGAGGCGTTTAAAAAAAATCAATTCCTTTCTAGTTTTCTTTCAACTTTTTATTTTTCCCAAAACATCTTGCCCAGAGAAATAATTTAAAAAAATAAAGCAGATCTGGAAAAACGACAACTGTTTTTATTTCGTTTTTTTATCTATATATATATATATCTACTATAAAAGAAATATAAATTGATTAATAATATAATTAATCTGAAAATAGCAATTTTTATAATATATTAAAAGAATGAATATGCAAAAAAATCAAAAAAATATTTATCACAAATAAAATGCTTAGCATACAAAATGACTTCACATTATACCTAAAAAACGATACACATAACACGCCCCCACTAATTGAAAACCAAACTTTGCATTTCACCTCTCACTCGGCATAATTATCGTCCCTTTATGGTGTTTTCACGAATTTAAACGGTGGTTAGCTCCATGAGTCTCCTCCCTTTGTGTGCCGCTATTGTCGATTCCTTATATATATCACGTCTTAGTTCGACCTGGCTCCCATTAACCATTTGGTTCAATTAACCCTTATATGGTTGATTCCCCTTTATTATTATTATCAATCACCCGGCATTTAGTTAGCATACCTCTGAAACTGTCCCCTTCAAATTTTATATGAATATTTTTCCACTATGAATTTTTGATCAATTATATCCTTCAGTTTATAATCCCTATCGTAACCTCCCAGGTTCTACGCCCCTTTTCAATTTATCTCGATGCTGTACTCCCCTCTTCCGTCGATGAATTTCACTCGATTTAATTTGTGTTTCATGTTTTCCATGATCACCCCAGATCCCCGCATTCTTGTACTTCCATATATTCTTGTCCACACGGTTTGTCCCACTACAAACTCGGGCGTCTCCATTATCTCCTTTTTCACTCTTGATGTGGTTTCGGCTTTAATAAATCCAATCATATCCTGGTTCATCGCCCTAAAAACTTCTCTGCCGGAGACTGTTCATCTCCCTTTCGACTATTGTTATAATATGCCACACCTATCCAAATTTCCCCATCTCCATACTTTGATTTTTTTAACCAGTTTTTGACAATCGACACCATCTTCTCCGCCTGACCATTTGAACTGGGATAATATGGCGGCGCTAAAATATGCTTTACCCCGGTTTCTACGCAAAACATCTTAAACTGTTCATTGATAAAAGCTGGACCTCCGTCAGATACTATCGTTCTAGCTACTCTAAACCTGGCCCATAGATTTTTCAACGTTTTCACTACCATTTGCATCGTTAGTCCCCTTACTTCCTCGTACTCCACCCACTTTGAGTAAGCATCTATCACGAGTATATAAATTTTATTTTTAAAGTCAAAGAAGTCAACGGGTATCCGCTCCCACTGCTGAGTAGCCCTTGGCCAAAAACTTTTCTTGTCTTTATGGGGCATCTTGTCCCACGTATTGCACTTCAAACAACTCTTACTGATATTTTCGATATCTCTATTCATCCCTGGCCACCAAACATATTTTCGGCCCCATTGCTTCATCCTCTCCTCACCTTGATGCCCAGCATGAATCATTGTCAACACAGCATCCCTTAATTTGAGCGGCACTACACCTCTATTCCTTCGTATGAATTCATCTATTATGGCCAAATCTTTTTCTATATATTTGAAAGTTTTGTCTCCATCTCGCCATGTCTTTCGCCTATTTATGCATACTTTGATACGAGTTAATTCGCGATCCTTTAATGTGGCATTCCTTTAGATATTCCTACCATAGCCCTAATCAATCCTTGCTCATCCTCCTCCTCCATACCCTTTGACTCACTATCCTCATAATTCCTTCCCGCTCCACATCTAGAAAGAATATCCGGTAAATAATTTTCTCTTCCCCGCCGATATTTTAATTGTTAGTCAAAATTGCCCACCAGTAAGGCGACAACATTAGCTCTTTATTATCCTTCTTGAACAGATGCACCAGCGGTTTGTGGTCCGTATATACCATGAATCTACGCCCTATTAAATACTCTCGGCATGTTTTTTATCCGAAAATAACGGCCAACACTTCTTGCTCGATAACCGAATATCTAGTTTCCGCCGCCCTAAAAATTCTTGAGAAAAACAAAACAGGTCTCTCCAGGCCGTCTACACAATGTAATAACGCTCCTCCTACACCTTTACTGGACGCATCTACCGCCAAAACCACCTCCAAATCGTTATTAAAGCATACTAGAATAGGTTCTCTCCCAATTCGACATTTTAGCTCCTCAAACCTTCTTTCCTGTTCCCTTTCATTCAAATCGTTCTCTCTTTTTCAGTAATTTATACAGGCGCCGCGGCGCTATCTGCGCAAAACCTTCCACAAATCGGTGATAATAATTTACCATCCCTAGAAAGGCCTACACTTCCACTTTATTTTTCGGTCTCAACATATTAGTTATTCTTGCCATATTTTTATCCAGCGGTCTCACCTCTCTTTCATTAATCTTGTGTCCTAGATACACCATCTCTGATATTTCCAACACACTCTTCTCGGCACTTGCCCGCAATCCTTTACCCTTAATTCTTCGGAATACCTCCTCTAATCTCTGGGTATGCTGCTCAGGAGTCACCCCCGTTACTAACACATCGTCCATGTAGTGGAAAACTCCTTCTAGGCCTTGAAAAACGGCAGCCATAGTTCGCTGAAAAATAGGAGCTGATACACTAAGTCCAAAGGACAATCTACAAAACGTAAACAATCCTTTCGGCGTCGTAATGGTCAATAAATTTTGTACTTCTGGCTTCACCCCCAATTGTAAGTAGGCATTTGAAAAATATATACTTCCCTTTAGACTGGCTAATATCCTTAATTTGCGACAATGGATATTTCACTTCTACAACCCACGGGTTTAGCGTGACCCGCAAATCTGCTCACAAACGGAGCTTTCCATTGGCCTTCTTTACCGGCAACAGCGGTGTTGCCCACTCACTATATTCCACAGGACATACAATTCCCTTCTTTACCCATTGATCCAATTCTATTTCCACTTCTCTTCGCCACTCAAACGGTACTCGCCGCAATCCACAAAATTTTGGCACACAGCCCTCCTTTATTTTATATCTACTTCATAATCTTTCAGACACCCCAATTCTTCATCGAAAATTTCCTGATAATTATCCGCTAATTTACGCTCTCCTTCTCGCACTTTAATCATTCCTAATTCCCTCTCTTCATTCTGCAATTCCGCTCCGTTACTCAGACTCATTTCCATCTCCACTCCTCGAATACCTGCTTTTCCTCCACTTTTTCGTTCCATCTCCTTTTTAACCTCTATCGTCCATTCTTTCCCTATTTCTCCTCTGGAATTATTCTCCCCGATTTTCTCCTTAAACCTATTAGCATCAATTATTCCCCTAGAACTATTCCCCCAAATTCCTCTCCTGATATTCCCCAATGAGTCTCCCCTATTACTCACCAATTAGTTCCCCCGATAACTCTCCAATGAGTCCCCCCGATTTCTCTTCTAGAATTATTCCACTTTAGTTCCCCATTAAACATGGTCTCAACTCCCCGCAACACATTCTCACTCAATGCCATAATCGTATATTCCTCACTAGTTATTGGCACAATACCCCCTCCCCACACCATGAAAATACTCCCCCAAAACTATACCATGGACCTATTCGGGTGATCTAATCCCACCCAATCACCGCTTCAACCCTCCTATTAATAATCCATAAATCTAATAATTTCCACTCTTTCTCCCAACACTGCTTCTATTTGAAATCTCCCCATTACAGATACTTGAGATCTATCGAATTGTCGTATTCTCAATCCTTCATTTTCAATCATCTCATCAGGCCAAATACTATATTTATTGTATCCAATTACCGAAATAGCCGCTCCCGTGTCAAATAACATTGGTACCAAACTCCCCTTAAAATTTATCATTACTCTTGGACATGGGTCATGTACTATTCTTTCTTGTATCATATTTACACATCCCATTATTTTTATTTCTTTATGAGAACCCACTTTGCCCATCTTTTCTAATCTCCTCGCCCGGAACCGAGTATTTTTATTGCTATCATATAGTCACCATATGTCCTCTTTTACAACATCTAAAGCACTCCACATTTTGTTCCTCGGTTTCTTTTACACTAAATACCACGATTCCTTTGCTTCTCTCACTCTCAATAGTCGGCACATTCGAAGTTTTTTGTCCCATTCCTTTTTGTGGGAAACCCTGCCTGGTATCATAAGTTCCAGTATTACACTCCTCTTATTGTGTCCATGCCCAAATCTTCCACAACCCGCACAACGCAATTTTTCTCGTTTACCCGGGCAATATAAGGCTATATGTCCATATTTTCCACATTCAAAACTTAATAAAATTTGGGCAGCACTTCTGTGTAATAAGTTAAAATAAAACAAATTTCATAAATTTTTATAACTATTTTAAATTTGATAAAATTTGGGCAGCACTTCCGTATAACTGGCTTATATAATTGGGTGATTTTCGTCTAATAGGTTTATATATGCAAAAATTTGGGCAGCACTTCCGTGTAACTGGCTTATTCAATAAAAATTTTGCACTTCCGTGTAACTGGTTTTTTTAATAAAAATTTGGGCAGAACTTCCGTGTACCCGGAACCTATTAGTATAGATAAATTCCTCGAATTTGTTCTGATGCAAACCTGCCCTTATGGCCTTTCTATTAATCCTCCTATTTGCGCTTATGCAAACCTGCCCCTAAGGCAATTATATTAATCACTGGAATTTGCTCTGATGCAAACCTGCCACTATGGCCTTTATATTAATCCCTGTACCACAAACTTTATTCCAAAACGAGAATCGTAGAACAGTCTTGGCCACCACTTTAATGTTTTAACCAAGGATAGTTTTATTTTTAAATTAAATTTTTATTTCCAAAAAAAATTATAAATTATATATATATTTAATTGTTAAATTTTAATCAAATATTGTTTTTTACCTTAATGAGGGGTTTAAAAAAATATCAATTCCTTTTTAGTTTTCTTTCAACTTTTTATTTTTCCCAAAACATTTTGCCAGAAAAATAATAAAAAAAAATCAGACAATTTGCACGGCCCGGCCCGGATTAAAAAATTTTCGGCCCTGCCCGGATTTTTTTTTAAAAAATTTCTACGGCCCGGCTCGGGTTTAAAAATTTTAGGCCAAGTCCGGCCCTGATATTTAAAATAGAATTTTGAGAAGCCCGGCCCGGCTTGGATTTTAAAAAAAAAATCTCTGCTCGGAATTTTTTAAAATTATATTCGACCTGGTATATACAAAAAATTCATCTATTTGGTATTTTATCATATTTTTTGGCGAGTATTATCATTTAATAAGCAAGCATATTAGCTAATGTTGTTAAACGGCTTGTTTTGAGCCGATTTTTAAAAACGGCTAACTCAATATTTTCGCCAGAAAAATATTGACTAAGCCTCGAAATTTCGGTACTATATGTCTAGACCTTTGCTCCTTCTATGAGCAAAATTTTCAGGCTTGCATAATATTTTTCTGGATAAAAAACTGAGTTAGCCGTTTTTAAAAATCGGCTCAAAACGAGCCGTTTAACAACCCTCATATTATTTATTTTTTTATTCTAAACAGATATTTAGTATATTACAAATTGATACTATAAAAAATTTGGGTAAATAATATTTTGAGAATATACTATATTAATTGTATTTATACAAAAAATAAAACTGATATTTTTATTAATAAAATATATAACATATTATATAATAATGTATTTAATCCTCTGCATATTTATTCCATGGCAGGAAACCTATATTTATATTATGTAATAGATACTATGAGTGTTAGATAGTGTTAACTTTCACCAAACATTATATTAATCATAACTATATATAATCATTATAACCATATCTAATTGCCGAATATTATAATTCATAGGGCCGGGCCTGCAGGTCTCTGAAAAAAATAAAGAAAATCTGGAAAAACGACAATGTTTTTATTTCGTTTTTTTATCTATATATATATATATATATCTACTATAAAAGAAATATAAATTGATTAATAATATTAATATAAAAATAGCAATTTTTATAATATATTAAAAGAATGAATGCGCAAAAAAATCAAAAAAATATTAATCACAAATAAAATGTTTATCATACAAAATGACTCCACACTATACCTATAAAACGATACACATAACACTAGTATTTAACAATTAAAAATGGTATATTGTATTTAAATTTTTTAGCAGATACAACTTGCTTCCTTTTCGAAAGTCAACGCTTTTGAATGGCGATCACATTTAGCCATGATATTGGCCAACCCAACTAGTAACCCTATCAAAGATAAAAAAAATGTGGAAGTTATGGGAGACGTATTAGGTATAATTTTTTGGACTCACTGAAACTCGGGGAAAATTTTAATATCATTTTTTTATTTTTAAATTTTTTTTTATTTAAAAATAATAAATATGCGATCGTATGGATATGGGTGGAAATTTTTTTATGTAATAATAATTCAAATTCACATATATATAAATAAGAGGAAGATTTTCTTCCAATTCTGGGGATGCTCCTCAATAGATTCCTCCATAAACGCTCAATACGTTGAGTAGGCCTATTCAAAAACGAATTCGAATCGAATAGTGCATTAACGAATTGAATAATTTACTATTACGAATAATAAAATATACCCCTTGCCATTTTCGAGAGTATGGGGACCCGATATGCATTTACTTTCCACCACATTAACGGGTCAGTATCACTCTTTGCTCTTGGTTCACTCAGATTAAAATCTATTTCACACAGTTGAATATAATTTTGTTTAAAAACAATGTCTAGCCTGTTTTGTTGAATTTTATCCTTATTTGTTTGATAGTTATATTTATGAGCTTATAAAATAAAATCATATCTAAATGGGGGTAAATTAAATACCTGTATATCTATTGTAAATCTCTTTAAATTTGTCCATTAACTTGGATATATCAATATCATAATCAACAGATATTGATTTAAAATATTCTAATTTAAGCCTGGGATCTAATATTGTGGTTATTATTGCATCATCGGCAGTTAAATTATAATAGCCCAACAATTTATCACATACTACTTTGAAACTATTGTTAAAGGATTTATGGAAACCAGGTTTTTCATTTTTTAGATGTTCAAGAATTAAAATATAATAAGGTATAACCAAATTATAAGTAGGATAATTCTCCCCACATACCATATTTATAGTTTCATATAGAGGCAATAGTATAGCTTTAATTTTTATAAGATCCTCCCATTCTTCCTATTTGTTACCAAAGTATTATATTATTACCTAATTATAAATTTTAGTTTACCTCTTATATTTGTTTTTCTTGAAGAATTTTAATATTAGTTATTACTTCATTAACTAATTTTGTTATAGCAGGCTTTAACAATAAACCCCTTTCAATCATTTGGTAGGTGCTATTCCACCTTATTTCACAATCCAATTTTGGTTTTAAAAAATTTAGGGGAGGGTGTAGGGAACTACATATATTTTTTAATAAATTTAATATTTTTTAGGGGAATTACGAATCATTCTAATAATGTTTCTTAGTTTTAGAATTGAAGGATCTAAAATTTTTAATATTTCTTTGGATATTAAATTAATTACATGGGCAAAGCATCGGATGTGCCCTATTTTTATTAATGGATATTTTAAAGAAAAGGTATCAATAAATGTTTTATTATTAGTTGCATTATCTAAAGTTATGTAAAAAATTTTATTCTCTAAATTATAATTTTTAATTATTTTAACAAAGGCTTTAAATATATTTTCGCCTGAATGTGTTTCATTTATTGGACTGACATCCAAAATTATGTTATTTATTTTAAAATTATCATCAATAAAATGGGCTGTTAGCCCTAAAAAAGGAACCTGTGTTGGGCTAGTCCAAATGTCAGATGAAAAATTAATCTGACTTTTATTTTTATTTCCTTTACCAACTGTTCTTTTTCTGCAAATGTATTATACATGTGCAATTTAAGAGTATTGGAGCATATTGATTTTACAGAACAATCAAGATCACTTATAAAATTTTTAAAATCATTTAAATTAATAATTTTTAAAGGTATATTATTATTTATAAATAATTATAATAAATTATCCTTAAAATTAATTTTTTTTGAAGAATTTGGTGTAGACTTTAAAAAAATGTCAATTTTATTATTTTTTTTACTAAGGTATGAATGAAACCGATTATAATGATTAATAAGAGGAGATGTTGTTTTGCCTTTACATTTTATAATACTCTTGCAATGATTGCAAGCAGCCTTTTCACCGTCTTTAAGGATTTGATATTGATCTCATATGATTGCTCTCTTTTGTGAGGAAATTTTCTCATCTTCAACATCAAGCATAATTTCATCAGAAGCATTCTCCTCTAACATAATTAGGCTAGCTAACAATAATTATTGTAGAGATGTAATATATTTTTATATACCTCTGGTTTGTGAAAATAATATAATTTATTATGAGATTCAAAAAATAAACTTTTCGTGAGATTCAAAAAATGTGGCAAATAAAAATTTAAATTTTCATTTCAGAAATTTTTAAATTTGTGCTAGAATTTTTATAAACACAAACACATCACCTGTCAGATTGGCAGGTCAACAAATATAAATGACAAATGTTAGATTTATTAAACAATTTATTAAATATTACGAATAATAATGATTATTCGTATTCAGATAAAACAAATAATTTATTATTCGTATTCGTAATTATTCGATTAGATTCGAATTATTTTTGAATAGGCCTAACGTTGAGTATGGATTGATATATCATTTGGGCCTATAAAGTTTCTATTGTGATTGACCGATTAATGATCATATCCATTTTCATTAAGATTGTTATAACTTGAAAAATATTAAATTTTAAGATTTGTGCTATCGCATATTTATTATTTTTTAATAAAATAATATTTAAAAAAAATTCTTATTGCATCAAAAAATTTCCACCAATATCCAGACAATGGTATAATTATTTTTAAAAAATAATATTAAAAATTTCTATAATTTGTGGTGATGAGTAACCAAACTTAAAATTTTTATTTAAACGAATTTTTTTTATATATGAACATTCAGTTTTAAGTTTATATATATGGTGTCCACAAATCAACAAAAAAAACATGGTTTTCAACCCGACCTCCTCAGATTTTTCTAAAATTTTTACAAGAGTTTGTATATATTATAACTAAGAAAAAAATAATAAAATTTTAGCCCCCTACTCCAAACAGCGGCTGAAATATGGACCTCTAATGGTCGAAAAATGGGGAATTTTGGGCAAAATGCTCTCCTTTTAATTTTAATTGAGCTAGTAGCGTCATTTAAATTTATTTATATAGCCTAATGGTATCCTTTAAAATAATATACAGTGTTGATTAAATTTGATGGAAAACATTTCCATATTTTTTAATTTATTTGAAGATAAAATTATTTGATAAATTATTTTATTTACAAACGAATTAAAAAATATGGAAATGTTTTGAATTAAATCTACACAACACTGTAATGTTTAATATTGTTAAAAGAATTATAATGTCAAAAACCGGAAATGTTTATAAAATCAAATCGGTATTTTTATTTATTTATTGTGTATAGGATTAATGAATAAATATGCACATTTTCAAGTTGGGCCTAGCTCAAGTTTAGGAAAAATGGCATTTTAATTACTAATCTAATGCAACTATTTTATGTTTAATATTAAGAATAGTGATGTATAATCTGGGAATTTTTTTTTTGGGGGAGGTATGGCTTCGATTATTTATTTAATGAATTGAATTCTCCTCATCAAAATAACTAAAAAATACAAATAAAATTTTGATTATAATATATTGAAAATAAAATTTAACAATATGAAAATAACTTTAATTTAATTTTCCCTAACATAGCACGAAACTTTTGTATTTTGGTAATGGGTTTGATCTTTTAACAAGATATTTCTTCATACTCATCATCTTTTACATATGTGTAATTAATTCCAGTGATATTAACTTTATAAAAATTAAATGAATTTTAAAATGTTTAATATTTGATTCTCATATGTACGCTGAAGGTAGTTTTTTTGCTAACCTTTTTTGTTTTCCATGGGCTATTACGAAATAATGTCATTCCACTTTGATTCCAAATTCAAGTTCATGATGGCTTAAGACCAATTATATTAGTTTAGAAAAAAAAATGGGCCTTAAATCTGTAAATTTTTTATAGTTCACTTTTTTATTAATATGAGTTTCCATAAAACTAGAATATAATTCCTTATGATAACATATAATTAGTATTTTCTTAAATTGGTTCTCTCTTTTAACCTTTATTGATATAAAACGGTTTTTACCAGGCATCATACGACTCTTTTAATCGGAATTATAAGATTTTCAAATAATATATATGAAACAAAAATACTACCAGCCTTTATTATATTTGTATTGGATAAAACACCATTTCGCTATCCTTGCCATGGATTCAATCGTAGAAAATTCTTTTTGCTTTTAAGGTTCACGAATTTGGTAAATCCGTCAATATCTGATTTTTTCCATTTCGAGAATGTGTTTTTCAAATTTATTTTTCATTGTGATGATTTCACATTCATCGTTAATATTAAAATTATCTTCTGAAAAAACTTCACAAACATATTTCTTAATTTTTTATGTCATATAATGCAAATTATATCTATTTTCTAGATAATTATGCACGCATTTCTTAGGCCTTCACAAAGTATATATTCATCCAAATTGTGCGAATTTTAGGAACGAAGTTTACAATAGCCCCCCCTTCCCCCACCTTATTTTTTATTTAAATAGACCTGCAGACCCTGCCTAAGCCCTTCCCGGGAATACTAACCGTGTCATAATTTAATTTTTTAAATATACGCAGGCCGGGCGTGAAAATATAAAATCAGGACCGGGCAAAATTTTTAATCCGGATCGGGGGCTATGCAAATGGTACCTCTGCAGGTCTCTGATTTAAATACATAAAATATTTAAAAGATTTTATCTTAAATATATTACAATTAATTATTTATCAAATATTTATTACGAATTTTTACAATTGATCAACTATTAAAATGCCATATCTACTACACCTGAACTTGGCCTAACTTGAAAATTTGCATATTTTTTCATTAATCCTATATCTATATATAAAAAAATAAGAGAAAAAAATACCGATTTAATTTTATGACCATTTCCGGTTTTTATTTCCCGTTTTTGACATTATAATTTTTTAAACAGTATTTAATATTATATAACTTTATAGGCCAACCATTAGACTATATAAATAAATTAAAATAGCGCTTCTAGCTCAATTATATTGAAAGATATTTAAAATTAGAAAGCAATTTGCCCAAAATGCCCCATTTTTTTGATTTAAAGGCCCAAGGGCCTGGTTGAAACCATGTTGATTTGTCTTAGAATTCACCATATTTTTATATAATTTATGATTCGATTTTTAATTAAATGACATTTTTATTCTTCGCCAATCTAACAGGGCAAATTGGGGATATTAGTGCTTCGCATTTATGCTACATACTTGCTCGTGAAAAATTTGGAGCCTACACCGATAAAATAGCTAAGCTCGTTCTTCTCACCTCTTCCAACAAGTTTTATATTTTATGTATAATATGCTACCTTTATAGTTAATACTGTTCAATATCCATTTATATTTTTTATTTTGAGATATAAATAAATAAACAATATTGACCAAATGATAAAAAAAACATATTGGCTTTAAGTATAAATCCCTAAAATTTAAATATAGTTTGGTATTATTTTTTACGATAAATTAGAGTGTTTAAAATAATACTAATTAGATAACTTAATTCGCTATCCACGCAGAGAAAGAACCCAAATAAAATTTATATAATAAAGAATTCAGCTATAAGTATAAAAAAATATGCATGTTCAATTAATTTTAAATATTTAAATTGATGAAGATCACGGTTCGGTCTAAAACCTATTTTCAAAAACCAAACCTAACCATAAAATAAATCACAAGAAAATAATATTATAAAATTAAACAGTTTTATTTACTAACAAATATCTAAATAATAAAATATGATAACTAACACAACCAAAACACATTGACGTTATAAGGGAGATACAAGATAATGCTTGGTCTCCCTAAAATAAAATCTGGCACTTCAAATTTTTAATTTATTTTTGAGCACGCCGCCTTACGGCTATTTTTTAAAAAATATTTGGTTTCTTTAAGTTTCGAAGACATTTATTAGCAATTATTATATCAAAAAAGAATATTAATAAAATCATTTTTATGGGAACCCCATAATAAAAAAACCAAGCTTGTAACTTTTAAGTACCCCCTAAATAAAAAGCTAATGATGCCTCTGGTAATAAAGAATAAGTTCAGCTTTACTAAGATTAAATTGAATATTTTCTTCGTATTCATTTTTTATGACTAAATACATGTGATAAATTGTATCATTTTGCTTTTTTACTTGAACACTTTTGCTTGGGAAAAAATTGTTATTCGATTATTGTTTATATTTAATTTGTTGATTATAAAAAAATAATATATAATCAAAAATAAACGGAACCAGGGAACCGATACAAAGGACCAACCAGATCGTTGATCTCCACTAATTTAAATGTTATTATTACTGATAGTTACGGTTTCATATCATGATTTTAAAAATCCCATACTGATTATTCATTCATTATAGTAAACAAAAAAGATGGGTCCCCGAACCTCTTATAGCCTTTTGTATATCATTCACTGATTATTGGCACTATTATTACTTAAACCATATCCTAATTAATTGTTTCAGAATTATAGAATTTCCTCAATATAAATCCCGATTTATTGACTTAACATTACGAGAATTATTTTTAATTAGTTTTTTATTTAAATTTAAAAAAATTAGATTGCCTTTCAATAAATTTTTGAATGTCGAAGCTATTAGACTTACAGAAATATACGAATACATCGAACAGTTACTCACTCCTACCAAAATCAATTGCTTGGAAGGCTTTATAACACCATTTCAGTCTTATAAATTTATTTATTCTACTTGGTTAATTGATAGGGGGATGATTAGTGAGGTAGAATATATAAAATTTATGACCTTGTTAAAAATTCGACATTTTTTTCGAAAAATTATATTTGGGCTCGAAGGATTTTGAACATATTTTTTTTAATTTTTTTACATACATTTTTTTTTGCCAAAATTTACTTTATTCTTTAATAAAAGTTAAAAAAAATTCTAACATTTATATAATATTAATAAAAAAATGAAAGTATAGAAAATATATTTATAAAGCTATTAATATGCTAATTTATTACACTTGCATACAACCAGCCCAAAAAAAAGTCGGGTGGACTAAGACAGAATTATTATTTTAATTTTTGGATCGGAAGGCCGGACATCTTTAACACTATATTGCATATGCCTATCTATAACTTGTAAACCTAAATAACCAAAGTGATTCCTTATCTCTATGGTATGGTTAAGCAAAACCATTTTAATTTTTTTCTCGCTTTTTTTATAGAAATTTTGAATGTGTATTCAAATGCACATTATACATTAGAGTTAAAATAATCCAAATTTAATTTTTTTTTGTTCAATATAATAAATGATATACAATTGTTTAATCTAATCATATAAATAATATTTAGTTCATATGAATATCTGTAAAACAATTATGAATAGGCCTGAACCAAAGAGCCACGCTACATTTTACACACTATTTTTTGTAGAAAATCTGCATAATGGCATTTTGTACCTCGCTTTATTTTCATTATACTTTGGCCAGTGTGCCGTTAGATCTTCCTTATTTCCCTTTGAGGAATCGCATATATATTGTTTCCTTGTCTAGATTTTTTCGGAACCCAGTCTCCACCGATGTACACATACCATTTTTTAACGACTTGTTTTCTAAATCGTATTAAATTTTCTGCTACTGAAATGTTAAATATCAAAGATTGGAGTGCCACTGAGTGCACGTTTAAATATTTAAATATAATATATAATGAAAAATACTTAAATATAAGATTATGATTTCACGATGTTTTATATAAAAACAATAAAAGGAGGAAAATATATTTGATTATATATAATCTTCTTTATTGCAACTTGTTTTTGTAAAAATTTAGTTAATTGAAATAATTATAAAATATATTTTAATAGACATATGTCATTTAATATTTTTTAAATATATTTTAGACATATATCGATTAATGACATTTTTTAAATATATCTTAGACATAATATTCATTAAAGGTAATAAAATGAACATATGATTATAATTGATTAAATGAGCGATATGCAACATAGGGTTATTTTTTGGGCTCGACTTGGCGGATCCAAATTTTTTTAGCCCGAACACTGAAAACAGGTAGGTCAAATATTAACTATCGTCTTCAGTTCATATATTACGAATACACGCTTATTTGAAGCAAATACGACAAAATGATGCATTTATTCAAATCGACTAAAATATAATATGAAATATTCGATTAGACTATACTGTATTCTATTCTAATATAATAAAATATTATGAATACAATAATGAAATATTCGATTTATATAACAGGCTTACAGATATATAGAGACAATATCGAAGGCTATAGTTTATCAACCTCAAACATATGATGCATTATTTATCAAAATGGTTTATGAGGTAATATTCTCAAAAATTTTAAGAATGTTGTAAAGTAAGTAAGGTTTTTGCTATTTTAACCAATTTTTTGTTTAATTGTACGATACTATATATAAATTATAAGGATGGACTTCGTAAATTTATTTTATATTTTTAGTAATTAATACAAATAGGCAACGTCATGTAAATTTTGGTTCTTTAATTCGGCCCAACACAGGCCTTGGATTGGCCGCGTTCACATCTAAAATATATTATTAAAATTTAACTATAGTTGGACTAATATCCGCATGATTTATTTTATTTACTTTATAAGAATGCGCTTGAATTATATTTCAACTTTAATTTCGTTCAAGGATAAGGCTTAAAATTAAAATAATGAGCCGGACTCAGGCTTAGAAATAAATAAATACTTAAGCCCAGAAAAAATTGAATTTGTATACCATCATAACCTGGCAATAATTAAGAACTGCTTCGAAATTTTTTTTTTCCTTTATTAAATTTAATAATGTTAACTTATGAGTTACACTTCACTCTTATTACATTTTTTCCTAAGATTGCTTGTCGATTGAAATACACTGATGCAAATTTATGCTTTACCCCAGACAACTTAAATACTATTAATCAAAATGAAAACGAATTTTATTATCCTTCTTCACCTTCTTGGTTGTTTGATCTTAGCAATATATTTAGACCTTTATGGGTAAAAAATAATAATATTCATTACTGTTTATAATTTTTATTATTTATTACTTATTGTTCATTCAGTTCTTTTTAAAGGCTTACGCGAGTAGGCCAAATGATTATATTTTACATATTCCCTTAGAAGGAAAGAAAGAAATACATAAACAAACAAACTTTGAACGATATTATTTTATAATTTTAATATTACCTATCTCAATACATTTCATTTTTGTATATATATTTTTTCAATTTAGCAAAAGAATCATTTTCACTCATTCAATAATTTAACTCAGAGCGAAGAAGGAAAATTGGCAAATAATATTAATGCTCAAATATCGAATATTCACAAGTCGAATGTTAATATTGAAAATTCCGGCTTTCAATTGAGAAAAATGTTTGAATCCAATAATGCTACCCTTGGAGGACAGGAAATTGTTAAGGAAGAAAGCCGGAAAGAAAATAACGCACTCCCTCAAATATCTTTATTTAATATTAACACGAATAAGCCAACCTTTTATGGTAATTATAGATTCATTTTTAAATTTAAAAGTAACTGTAATGTTGTTTTATTGATATTGATTTTATGATGTTTATCCTTTTATTTAGACCATTTTTTTTTTGAAATGATAACTTTAGATAATCGTAATATTGTTTCAGAACCGCCCAATGTTGAAATATCTCAAGCTAGCATCCCTAATTATTTTCATCCCAAAGAAAATACTAATTTTGCACCTCTAAACACTAAACCATTAACAAATAACCTATCTTATTTCCCTAATTCCTCAATATCATTTCCCATCCAACAAAACACCTTTAATCCTACACAATTCAATCCATCTTCCCAACCTAATAAAATTAAAACAATAAACACTATATCCATTACTCCAGATAGCGATCCTCGTTTATATTACCAACAAAATAATCAAAAAAGGGAAAATTTTCATATTGATTCAGCCTATTCAAATCCTGATCATTATAAAGCGGATGCTATTAATTTTGGCAGATCAGAACCAGGTAATATTGTCAGGCCCTTAGGAAGTTTTGGTAGTTTATCAAGCATACAAAACCTTAATCTTCCGGTAAATTTTTAGATGATTAAAAATTTTGTAATGTGAACATAATAGTCTTTATGTAGATAGACTTATTTAGAATTATTCTATTTTATACATTTAAATCTCTTTGATTTAAACTATTATTTATTTTCTCTATCAAGATAACCACTTTTCCACAATTCAATCAGCCATTGTTAAAGCAACAAAATTACAACTCTCAAAATTTTATTTTTGATAATAAATCACAAGGAATCAATAATATGGGAGAACCATATCTTACACACTTTATCGCCGATAATAAAACACCATCTATAAGTACAAAAGAAGAAAATATTCATTCTGAGGAACCTACTTCAAAAAAGGTCCTCTTCTTTCATTATAATTTTTAGGGTTGCATAAGTTTATGTTAAATTAATTCCAAAAAAAAAATGATGTATTGCTTTTTTAGTCACATGAGTATTTTCAATAATAATTAGATAATTTGATCTATATAATTTGCTATATTACTATCCTATTAATAACTTGTGTTCTACCATTTGCATCATTATTACAAATTTTTTAGGTGACTAAAGAAGTCAATTCTGCATCTAAAGGTTGGTTCGGTGGTATTATCAACAAAATTCTTCCAAAAGGTCCGAACGAAATGATATTACCTGACGATTCTAAGAAAACTGTAAAATCATTGGTTTTTATTTATTTACTAATTCTGTAAGTAATCAAAGAAATTAATAGTTTGTAATCTTAATTCATAGGCATATTATATAGAGATTTAATGAAACGATAAATAATCTTATTAAATATAACATTTAATTTGCAATAATTACAATTATCATATTTTTCACAACTCACTGAAAGATCTTATGGAACGAAGATAAAAAACGATGGGAAAATTCGGATGGAACGGCCCCCGAGGATGATATGGTCCCACCTCCTCCTAGCGATGATCAACTTTTTATGTATTCTACAGCTACATCTCCGGTGTACCCCTTTAATCAAAATCTCCAATTTTTACCTGGCCCAGTTAACGAAATTGTTTCCCCCAATCAAAATTCCAACTTTTTAACCGGCCCAAATAGCAATGCTTCTTTTAATCAATATATTCCTGGTAACACTATTTCTCCTCAATCGTTTAATCAATACGACAAAAATCAACATCTAGCTTTCCCATTTGCGAATAATTTTCAAACTGCACCAGGGATCGGTAGTATGATGGTGGGAAATAAAAGATGTAATACATCTTTTTGTGATTTATTTATATATGAAAATTAAGATATAATAGAAAGATAATGTTAAAGGCAGGAAGGAACAAGAAATTATGATGAAAATAATAAACTGGCTATTTATGATAAATTAAACATATAAAAATCATAAAATTTTTGCCAATTTTTTTTAATACTAAACATTACTTTTTTTAAAAATTAGACATTTAACTTAGCCATATCTCATTTGGTGTTCCTTGAAATTTGGCGGGCTTTAATTTAATAACAAAAATCCTGTGTTCGTTACATTTTAATGGCATCGTATATCGTTAGATGAGATTACTAATATAAGATAGATGATTCAGCCTATTGTTTTAATACAAAGGGAATTATTTGCCTTTTTTGTTTTCCTAGCGTCAATAATTTACAAGAAGCGCCTTCAGGTGATTCACAATGTATCATTTTCAAATCTGTGAAATGGTTTTTTTACCAGCTAAATATAATTGTGAAGATAAAAATGAGAATATTAGTATATGGTTCTCCCCTTGGGATGTATTCGCAATATAAATACCTCAAGTTCCTTAGGCTAGTGTTAATTTATGATGGCTTGGCTAGTTACTTTATTTATTGTTCAAAGTTATGTGAATATTTTTTAAATCCCGCACGCTAAACCCACTTGCTTTGTTAACGTTTTTATGTTGTAGCTGTAGTCGATTATGCTATCTTATTTTATATATTTATAGCTGTTAGGAGTCCATACGTTGATGTTTTTGCAAAAGCTCAAAACCAATCATCTTCGTCTTCAATGATATCTCCATAAAAAGAAAATTTCGTGTATTACACAATACCTTTAAAAATACAGTTGGTTTCCTAGAATTTTGCTATTATTTTATATAATCTTACTATATTTTGATGTCTAAATCTTATTTTTGCTCACTCTAATTAACTTTATTTGTATTTCGATTCTGATTTCGGTATATATATATTTTTTTTAATACTATTTTTAACTTGCGAGTGAAAAATTAATAAAGATTTAACCATCATTTATATTTATACCACATTTTGCAAATCCAATAATTTAATATTGCATTTCTCTTATATTTTCATAATACATTTAAAAATTGCATAAATATGTTCAAAAAAGGTAATTTTTTTAAATTTATTTTGTCGTGCGTTTTTTTTACATAAGTACGGTGGAAACATATCATACAACACATGACAATATATTATTTAAATTTGGGTTTTATTTATATTTATTTATGACACGTTTTACATTCCTTATTTTAGTTGATTTCTGAAGATTAATAAAATCATACCGCTATTTTTATGATGTTGTTTTTATTTTTATCTTACACCTATTTACCTCATTTTAATAAAAAAATAAAAATATATTTGAATCTTGGATTTAAATATATTCAAATCGATCAAAAAAGGCACATTTTCGGCCTACCCCTTTTAAAATTGTTAAAAATTTCTGGAATTATTTAGATAGGTATATAAATGAGAAAGCCGTTTATTTTAGCTCGTTAGCACACCTGGTTCCCGAGATATAGGTGTTCAAAAGTGCAAAAAAGAGCCACTTTGGAATCTGTAAAATTTTTAAAATCTTATATCTCAAAAACTATTTACAGTAAAAAAAGTATAAAATATCATATTGTAGGTAAAAAAATCTCTAAAGGGCTATCAAAAAACAATAAAAATTGGCGCCAATTTGAGCCATTAACTTCCGGTTTACCTATTTTGCTTTACCTGTGTTTTTAAGCAAAAAAGGGAGTTTGTTTTCGAATTTTTTTTATTGCTTTTTATTTAGACACCTTTGCTAAATATATATATGATGTCAAAACTTTGGCGACGCTATCGACTTTTCCGAAATATACATTTTTACCAAAAATGAAGATAAAAGTAGATGGCGCTAATGGTTGAAAAATATTATTCTTAAGGAAAATGAAAATATTGATACGTTTATAAGAAATGTGATAAAATTATCCAGTTCTGCCCCCACCCCCTCCCTAAATAGTTTTACATTTTTTAGATACTTTGCTACTATAGCGAATGACTTCGATAATATATAACAGCTGCAGTAAAAACGAATATTTTATTAGGCATATTATCGATTATATTTTACAAAATTAACTGTTTAAAACGATCTCTTTCTGCGTAATATTTTTAACTTGTCCGTTCGATTAATTTTAAATAATTCAACCCGTCTGTAACTTATTATTTTATCGTCTGTCTACCAATAACATTCTGGATTTGGAGAGTGCAAAATCATATATTCTAAGTGCAGATCAATTAAAATTTTATTCTATATCAAAAAAATTTACCATTCAATTTAGATTATTAATGACGCAAATAAAGAATAATTGCGCTAAAAAGAATCGGAAGTAGAATAAGAATATGTAAGTCTGGTTGCGCTAAAACGAATAAGTAATAGGATAAGAATATGTAAGTCTGGTTTCGTTTGCTTTAGAATAAATAATAACGATATCTCCAAATAATAATAAAAATGCGATTAAATTTATTCTTTTATTAGTGTTTAAATAAAACGCAAATATATATATATCAAGTCGTTAAAAAAGTAATTTTTATTAACAAGTAAAATTATCGCGTACTTAGTAAGTCAAAAACTTTAAATATATATATATCTAGAAAATCAATTTTAGGCAAATCAATTGATGGTTTGAGGCTTCGTATGTAGAAATAAAATAATGTGAATGTTTTTGTATATGTAAATAGTCATAGTTTAAAGCTTCAATTGACTTTGTATATTATGATATTAAATTATATTATGCAACAATTAATATGCTCTTCATGCCGACAAAAATTAGCAAGCATTCCTTATACTTCAAATGACAATGTAGATATTGATTCTCCCCCTCATATAATTAATCAAGAGGCTATTAATAACATAAATATATCCCTACAATCAAATGGGGAATCTCTCATTAAAAGAAAACGCTTATGTGAGAAGAAATACTCGAAGAAAAAAATATCTAAAGTGAAAAAAGTTTTAACGACTAAAATTATACCATTATCTTCATCAAATGAGGAAAAATTCGATGAAATTCTAGATACCTTAAAAATTAAAAAAATTATATGAAAGATATTTATTATTGGAAATTTGTTACATTATTAAGTGTCTAATGAGCATTTGCCCACTCTGCTCCTCAGTTTAATTAGTATATTAAATAGAAATTCAAAATTTTTTAGCATAAAAAAATATTCGGTTATTGATAAGTTAGCAGCAAAATTTTAACCATAATCCGTAATTTCATAAAGCGCCATCTATTTTTTTCATCAATTTTTGGAGTCGATAGCGTGGCCTAGGTTTCTATATCATATATATATTTAGCAAAGGTGTCTAAATAAAAAGCAATAAAAAAATTTCGAAACCAAACTCCCTTTTTCGCTTAAAAACACAGGCAAAGCAAAATAGGTAAACCGGAAGTTAACGGCTCAAATTGGCGACAATTTTTATTGTTTTTTGATAGCCCTTTAGAGATTTTTTTACCTACAATATATACATTTTTTTACTGTATAAAGTTTTTGAGATAAAAGCATTTTAAAAATTTTACAGATTCCAAAGTGGCTCTTTTTTGCACCTTTGAGCCCCTATATCTCGGGAACCAGGTGTGCTAGCGAGCTAAAATAAACAGCTTTCTCATTTTCTTAACTATCTAAATAATTCCAGAAATTTTTAACAATTTTAAAAGGGGTCGGCCGAATCGTGATCGATTTGACGGGGAGTGTGGCCCTTCTATGGAATTCTCAGACATTCACAATGTAAAACACCTAAAGAATATAAAATGAACAGTATTCGGCGGCATTAAAACTCACTGCTATTTTTTAGCCATGATACATGATTAGGTTGCGCCGCTCTGCTAAATGCTGTCTCGTGAAAAAATGTGACCATATATGTCCTACGCGAACTCGTTAAAATCTAAAATAAAACAATTTATTTCTAAGAAATTTAAAAAAATATTAGCCACATTTATTTTATCAAATTTATGATATTTTTAGCCGTCTATGTAAATTATAACATATCAGCCGGAAATTTCCTACTCATCACTTATTTTTACCGTCGATTTTAAAATAAATATTAATTGCTTACTTAATTTTAACATAATATCAAAAATAACCAGAACATTAGAGTTCATTTTTAGCTTGATGAATAGTCAAACAGAATTAGTTTTCGACGTAGTCATGCTCGCATACTCACAAATCCAAACTGATTTTAGAATATGATTATCAATTAACAATTTTCAAAATATCAGTTTAGGTAGTACAGCCAACGATATATAGAAAAGCAAATAATTTAAGGAATATATTTTGTTTTAATTTCGAATTTTTATTACACATGAAAAATTTGTACAAATTATATATATAACACTATTCAAATAATATATAATTTATTGCACAGTCGACCTACATCTACATAATCATAAATAATTTATAAGATTTAAAATAAAACATTAATATATTTTTATATAAGTGTAAAATTATAAAAATTAGAGATTCATTTCCCTCAAATTAGACAAAGATAAGATAAAAAGATCAATTTCTAATTGTTATTTTAAAAGTTATAAGAAGAAAATTTATGAAAGCCATAAAAATTATTAAAACTGCTCGATTGTGAAAATTTTATATAAAATTATTCTAATATCAATATAAATTATATAAGATCGAAATTTAAAAAACGCAATATTAATTTTAATTATTCAGCGGCTTGGGCAGTAGCAGCACCTGGAGAAGCGGCCCATTCCGGTTTAGCTTTAGCCTTAAATAAACATAAATTTATTTGTTTTTACCAACATAATCGTTAATTCGGCTTAAGAGCGCATTTTGATAAAAAAAAACCTTTAAGCATTGAGGTACAAGTTAATTTATTTATGATTTTTTTAAAGTTTGACTAAATTCTCAATAAAAAAACCGATTACCCAACAATTGTAATAAAAAATCTTTTTAAAAAATATCAAAATAATTCATATTTACTCTTTTTTTAAATTTTGTGGAAAAAAAATAATCCATATTACTTCAACTTCATCAGTGATGGCAAATCGATTAGTTTCAACTTTTTTGAGGCCAGATAACCAATCAGGAGCTTCTGGTTTGTTGCTCCTCTGCATTTTTTGAAATCTTAATAGTATAAAAACATAATATATTCGCAGGTGCATAAACGGGGGGGGGGGATTCCCTCCCCAGTAGCAAAATTTTTTGAAAAAATATAAAAGGGCTCAGGCGCGTAGCCAGCAGGAGGGGGACAATTACCCTTGAAAAAATATAAAAGAGCTTCATGAATTGAATTATAAAGTACTCTCTATTTCAAATAAGTTATATTCTATTTTAAATATTAGAAAAAGTTAAAATTTAATTTAGATATTTATTTCTTGTTATTAATTTCACGAAAATTAAGTTTATTTTCTTACATTTTTTTTAAACCAACACTGAAGGATATAAGAAAATTTTCTTAACCAAAAAAAATTCTATTTAATTTATCTGTACTTATAACTATAATTATAAAATTTCTTAAGTATTTGAAACGTTCAGATATCCAAATAGACAGAATTTACTGTATAGTGATATAGGAAAAAAGTGCAAAAAGCCGGCATGGCACGATGGAGGCTTGACATCAAGCTATTACAGCATTTTTTAGATCTAGAAACCTATTTTGTATGCTCTTGGGAAATATCAGAATCACCTGAAACTCATATTTCATCTGATGCTGATATATTATTAGATTTAATATGATTGCCGATTTTTTCATTAAATGTATTAATAAATTATTTATTACTAATTTTATGCAATATTTTTCAAAAAAATGGATTTGGCTGAAGTTATGAGAATCGTGTAAAAAGGTGGACGCGGGTCTAATTTTTAAATTCACCCCCCCCCCCCACCCCCCTCATGGTGATAATAAAAAAAATTCACGGCCTTTCAACGCTTACTAATAATAAAATTTAACCCGCCCGCTCACGAAAGACAATATTTTGATCACGCCCGGAAATTCACGGCATTTTTTTTTGAATTTATTCTATCAGTTTTTATTTCACTAATTTCATATTAATAACACAAAATAATTACAATTTAAATCAAAATTTTTATTTAGAAAAAAGAAGTATCCATGTTTTTTTAATTCAATTATGCTCGCCTTTCTAAGCGATTAACTATAGAAAATAACCTTTTACTAGAAGCCAAGTTTGCCGTGGCCTTACAAATTTTTTAATCTCAAAAAAAAGCTTTAAAATATTGTAACTTCTATTTGTTTTATGTGCGAATTTTTTAAATTCATCCTCACAACTTTTATCGGTAGATGTTGATGCTTCATCAGAATCATCTAGAAATTCTCTAAATATTTCATTTAGAATATACGGCTTTTAGGTTTTCAGGATGTACAAAAGTTTTAAATAAGAGTTAGCATTGACTTAGCATATCAACTAATTTTACATCATTTTTAAGGTTGTTTTATATATATCTTCCTTTTCTTCGTCCTTTAAAAACTAAAGACTTTTGAAATTCTCTAGAATTGAGCCTACCTTATGTAGTGACTGCATAATAAATCTTTCCGTTAAAAGAAATGTTGTACTGTTTTTATAGGGTTTTGATTATTATTGTATCACCTTCAGAAGGTTGACAAAATTTTACTTATTTTTAGTTTCCACATATAAACTTCATTTATTGTGGGACGAGAATCTGCGCTCAGATTATCCGAGCATTCTTTGAATATTGATAAAAATTTTAAAGATAAATAAAAAAATTATTGCTGAACAAAAGTTGAGAGATCTATTAATTTTTATTCAATAGAAATTTTATAAGACGGGAAAAAAATGTTTATAAAATTAAGAAGTTTTTTTCTTGTTTTCAAAAATTATTCTCTTTTAAAGGAACTAAATTAAATTAGAAAATATATATTATAATTATAAAATTGTAAATATAAATTCATAAAAAACCATTTAAATTTTCCGTGATGCACGGGAAATTTATGTTCACGCCCGGCAAATATTTTAAAGGCCCGTCACGCCCAGTAACGCTTAATAATTTAAAATTTATTCACATTCATGTCCTGACCCATTATGTCACGGGTCATTTCACGGCCCACGCCCACCTCTGATAGCGAATATTATTACATTACAACTTAGAAACCAAAAGATATTATCACAAGGAATTTCCTAAGATTTAAATGATTGTTGAGGTGAAAAGGGAAATTATGCGATTTTGAGATTCATAAGCCTCAACTTTCACCGATAAACAAATCGTTTTAATATTAACAAGGACTCAATTTAGGATTACTATGAAATAACCGTTTTTATTCCACTTTTGATTTAATTTTGACTCAAATCAATGAACTATTTATGATTTATCAAATGCCTCTATCCAATTTACATATAACTCCCTCTGATCGGAGGATATATCAAATCTTGATATTGAAAAATTAAATATTGCTAATTCAGAGTATATAAATGTATCTGAAGGCCAAATTAATTTCAGAATTTAAATGGTATGAAGATTCATTTTTATATAATCATCCAAGAAATACAGCGAAAGCATTACATCTTTAAAATACATTTTATTAGTTTTCATTTTTTAGATAATCCTCCAAGCGAAAGCATTACATACTTTAAAATACAATTTATAAGTTTTATATTAAAATTACTGTATATTTTGACAATTGATTCAATAGACTAGCTTTGCTCATCGAGAAATCCCCAACATAAAATAAATTAATAAAAAATTGGCGCAATCGCAAAGAAGATTAAATTTCCATTTATGAACATATTTGACTAACTTTTTAAATCATTATAAAATGTTTAATTTTATATTTTATTGTGATTTTCATACAGGTTTATATAGCTCAAAAAAATTTTAACCGTATTATATTCGCTCTTATTATTTGATATTTTCCAATATTTTATTATTTGTGTTCGAAATTATCCTATTTTCAAATATGATTGTTTCGTTCTAATAAATTTTAAATGATAATTAGTTTTAATAAATTTTTAATGCTTCAAGAAAAATTATTTCAATATAAAAAAATTACCCCCACCAGTAGAAAATTCCTGATTACGCGCCAATATATTCGTGATATTTATTATTAGTTTGAAATAATTCAAATAGCAATACGTTATTCATATCTGATGAGTACTAATAATATAATATTCGATTCAATTTTATGGGAACTAGATTTAAGAATTGGTTTATAATATTTTTTCATACTTGGCGTCGTATTTGGAAATTTTTTTCAAGGTTGGTTTGACGCTAAAAAAATTTTTTAAATATATTTTAAAAATACTTAAATATTAAAACCAAAAACTGAAAATAGAAATGCTAGTTTAATTTTAAAAAATGGGGGTTATATCATAAGGTATTTATTTTAAGGCTCAGCACGACCCCATAAAAAGCCAAAATTTAACATAAAATCCGAACCCGTCTAATTTGATATATTATTAGCAAAAATTTTTACTATCTTCCTCTTAGGTTGTTGACTTCATTGGTCATAGAGTTGATCTAATAAAAATAGAGAATAGTTCATAAAAGAAGCCACAAATGATCCTAAGTATCGTGTCTTAAAAATAAAAAATTTATATGATCCTCCTAAAAGGAATCAAAATTAAATTATGTCCCTTCAAAATAATACATGAAATAGGTGATTATTTAGAATGGACGCAATAATATTAGTTAGAATTAGTGTTGTTAAACTACCTATCTTTAGTCAATTATAAAACAGCGTAGCTCTATTTTTATCCAGAAATATCCTAATCAAACTTCAAGTTGAGACTCAACATAAATTTAATTCAATTTTTTAGTCTAAAAGCTTAACTAAGACACAATAGAGATGGTCAAAGTTAGGTAATTTAACAACACTAGTTAGAATGCCCTGCCATTTTTAAAAAATATATAAGTTATACAATAAAATAATATCAAATTGTTCATCTCCAGCTGATGAATAATTAAAATATTGAAGCCCCTAGCTTATATCAGCCTTTATCAAGAATCATTAAAATCAAACAGATGCTCATGGTTTGGTTACAAACAAAACATATTCTTCTGCTTCCTATTTTTAAAAAGTGACGTCTCTTCAAACTGAAAAAGCTAGCGATACAACTGCTATAAATAAAAAAAATATAAATGGAACAATCATTTGAATGATTAGATATGAATTCGTATTAGATCTTATATCACTGGTGGAAGCGGATTGTTGGCCCGTACCGTATAAAGAGATTAATGGGATCTAAGCCTCTAAGTTTGAGCTCCTTGTTAAACATATTCTAAAGACCCTTGGCATCCAGGTTCGCTACAATTGGAGACTTAGGGATTAAGGAGTAGAAAACAATTTCGACCCTTTGTGTTGTTAATACTATTGTCAAAAACCTCGATTTAGTCGATAAAATAGTTTACCAAGGCAAACTAATAAAATCTATCATGATGTGTTTTAAGTAGTATGGTTTTATCAAGGCAAACTAATACAATCATCTATCATGATGTTTTAAGTAGGTTTCTTTTGACAAAATCTCGAGACTATGGAATATATTATAACTAAAATCCTGATTTTACAGTTTTTTAAAATTGGCCAAGTTGAGATGATTTTATTGGGTCATGACATAAAAGAAAGTATGGAATGAATAAAATTTTTAGTCTAATCTTTATAAAACTAATCTTAATAATATAAATCAGAGACTGCATAGATCAAAATTTATCAAGCTGGCCCATAATTTTTAAAATATCGTTATTTGAATAATTTTGATTTTATTTTGCAAATTATTTTATAATGAAATTTAATATAATTTTAACTTCTTAGATATATTTTATGGGTTGGTCCTTAAATGATTTGCAGGTTATTTGTTCTTTGAAAATCGATTACGAGTTAAACCGAACGACCTTATGTGTTATTTATAAAATTTTCAGGTAGTTTTTTCCCAATTTTGAAGATTTAGGCTTTTTGGGGTTTATATTTATCTTACTTAGGATATTCTTCTTAAAAAAATTGTCTTTCACTATTTATCTAAGTGTTATTTCAGTGATTTCTAGAGGTTTTTTCTTTCATAAAGATTTATATCAATATTTGAATAATTTTATACCTTATAATAACATTTCCACAGGCAATATGATTTTTATATAATATTTTTTGGGGGATGTTAAAAATTAGTTAGCTAGCTAATATACCAATCTTAACCTTGATAACTCAAATTTTTATAACATGATGCTTTTATAAATGATAAATATAATATAAACTTGTTCATCATTTTTCCTAAGAGTAGAGTCCCAATCGTATCTAGACATTTCTAATTCTTTTATACTATGTATAAGTTCTTCACATAATCTTCTTACTTCATCTAAAAATTCCGAAAGAGTTAAAAAAAGGTATATAAGTTGTAACCATCGCTCATTGTGTCTAAATTAGGTGGTATAGGTTTGACCTTCTGTTCCAAAAATTTCTTCTTTTCTCCCTCTTTCTTTTTTAACTCAATTAGCATTTCTTCTCGGGCCTTTTTCATAATGTAAGCCTAGATAAAATAATAAAATTAGTTTCAAATAATGTTATAAATAAATTATGAAGATTATGCCTTTAATTTCTTTTTTCGTTCGGGTGTTAAAAATCCTTTCTTGCTTTTACTTTGCTCCTCTAATCGTACTCGGACCTCAGCTTTCCGTCTTTCCTTTTCATCCATTTTTCTGGTGTGTTGCTGAAAAAAAACAAATAATATATTGTGGTGGTATCAATATGCTGCCGCTCACTTATATCAGAAATACAATAAAATTATGGGAAAAGTCCCTTAAAACATCAAATTTCCTCTTTTGTCTCTATATGGCTTATTTTAAATACAATGTTTATAGATATATCAGAGACCTGCAGAGGTACAATTGCACGATGACCCGACCCGGATTTTTTTTCCAAAAATTTTTTACGGCCCGGCCCAGCTTTTTTTTTATAAAAAAATTTTCAGGCCAGGCCCGGATTTTTTCAAAATATATTATTTTTTATTTTTATAGTTAATAATGGCGATTTCAAATATTTGGTTTTAAAATATATGGCCCGGCCCGGGTATATTTTAAAAAATTAAAATGATATATATAAAATTAATTCCATAAATCCGATTAATCAACAGGCTTTAGAAAATATGACGAACCAGAGCAGGGCCTATAAATTCCATAAATTTAATTAATCCAAATGCTTATAAATTCTTAACAATATATAAACAATTTGATTAATATAAAATCAAATTCATTACAGATGCAGCACTTTCATTCGTCGATGTTTTGCGTGGAGCCTCTTGTTTTTTGACTTGAGGTTTCTTCTCATCTTCTGATGACTTTCGTATTTTAAAATCGTATTATATTTCATTTTTTTAAATTTTACTTCAGAATCAGAGCTGGATGAACTTTCAGGTTAATAAAAATAAAAAATGTTTAATAATGATTAATATTTTTCATAATTGAATTAATTTAATAGATTTGAAGAATAAGGCATATAATCCTAATAATAATCAACATTGAAAATAATAAACTTGTTAAAACATTCAAAATTAGAGAAAAGAAAACTGATAAAATATTCAGCATATACGCTTAATCTTGGTAGAGGCTTATTATTTGACATTTTCTATGTACATATATGATGTTAAAACTAGATATTTCCATACTATTTTCACACCATTTTAAAATTTAAAATATGACCATTATTTAAAATTTTTATATAAAAAATTATTCAATGGGTTCCCGCATCAGCCCCATACCAGGCCCGGATATGCTTTCCCCAAAAGCCTTGATAAATGAAATCTCGAAAAAAAAGTTTCAATATTTAATTTTGAAAATTAACAATGCGATTCGCTTTTTCGGGCATGATATGATCTGTCTTCACTGTTAGGCAGGCATTTTAAGAGCGAGGATGGGTAATTAGTGAAATATATAAATTATTTTTAAAGCTATAATCTCGATAACTCATTGCCCTTTAAGATGTATTAAGCGTAAAATCTTAAAAAATTAACAAAAATAATTAATAAAAAAATAGTGCAATAATTATTTACATATATCCGCCAAATATTTAGAAATCATAATTATAAAGATATTGGTAGAGGTCTGTAAATGGGTAAAAAAATCAACGTTGAGCGGGCGGGTTAAAATATTTTAAAAATAAATGGGCGCGAGCGGGTAAATTATAAATATTAAGGGTGGAATGAGAAAAATAGGCTTACATTAAAAAATTATTTTTATTACAAACTTATAATTTAAAACGGGAAATAAAATTTTTAAATAAATAAATAGGCGAGGGTTTTAAAAAAAAATTGAGCGAGGGGGGGGGGGGGGGGGGGGGTTTGAAATAACATTGGAACTAAACTCTAACGAGCTTGCACTCTCCAGACGACATGAAAAAAAAATACATAAAATCATATATATATTTTAATTTTACCTGGATGACATTATGGAATATTAGAAGCCAACGATAATTTTTTTCTACAAATAATTAAATAATTTATAATTTACACAAATGGGGACCCAAGATCATGTCTCAATGAAAAGGTGGTCATTAGTGAGATTAATAACTAATTTTAGAAAAAGTAAATAAGGAGTGTAATGTAAATAAGGTAAAACAAATCAAAATTCCTATTTTGGTTAAATGAGATTATGGTCATTTTACATAAAATACCCAAATTACTTTTATCCAAGAAAAGGGAAACTTGATTGAAAAAAAAATGTTGGAATAAAAAATATTGATTGGATGTTTATTTATCAAAATCTAAATATTATATTGTTTAAAAATTCTCCAAATGCTTTCACCTTAAAAGGATTCGTATCTGTGTATCATATATCAATCAAACACATATTATATAATCTCTGATTAATTTCTGATTATTATTTCGATATTATTTTTCTTATATTTATTTATTTATATTTATATTTTTTATGCATACAAATATTATATTATCATAAATATTAATAATAGAAGGTTTTATTTAAATCTAAAGTTTAAAAAAAATTCTGCATATACATCTGTTATTTTTATTATTTTGTATCAAGAAAAGTCAATTAAAAAATTTTTATTTTATTTTAAATTTAGAAATTTTGATCTTAAATTAAAAATTAAAATTTCAATGTTAAATGATAATTTGCAAGATATATGATAAAAATCTTTAGTTTAGTGAATGGTTATAAAAATAATACTTTAGATATTAAATTGGCCCATTCATCAAAATTAGGTGAGAATAGTTTCCTTAGGTGGGTCGAAAAAAATATGTTTCTCAAGCAAACTTGAAAAATGTTAGCCCTTCTTTAAAATTAAAATTTTTTTCTCAAATCTTATATGTCCATATAGAAAATATAAAATAAGATGGAATTAAATTTTTCGGAATGGTTTTTAGAATCCTGGTCTTATTGCAGTTGATTTTCACTGCGGATAGAAATCCTGAAATACCTGTTTCCCAACCTCATAAGATTTTCCATCCTAATTATTTTCTTATCAAATCCTGAAATCCCTATTTCCTAATCTCATAGGGTTTTTAGCTTACCATTTTCATCTCAGTTCAATTTGGACCGATATAAAATTTATATATCGTCTTTTTATAATTATCAAATATATATATAAATAAAATATCAAGAAGTTTCAGAATTTATTTAAGTTTAATTTATATATCTATTTTTATTGATATTCCAATGACGTTTCATCTACCTTATTTAAATTTAATGATAAGATATTTAAATGTTAAATTTAGGAAGTCCGAATGGTTAAATCATTTCAAAATCTCACCTGCCAATAGCAGGCAATGCATTTGTCGTTTAATAGGTCAACAGGTATATTGGATTAAATTAATATTATGATTTATAAATTTACTATATATCTTATTCAACAATCTTATATTAAAAATAATTCTTTGCCTATAAATTAACTTGTATATCTCGATGAAAGGGAAGAAAAAAAATCAAGAAATCTCAGTTCCTTATGAAAAATTATTTTCTAAAGCAGGTGAAACTAAAAAAAGAAATAGATTATTAAGATATGTATTCATACGCTACAGAATATCTTATGGAAAAAATTCTCAATCAAATCTTATTGAAGATAATAAAAAATAATATTATTACTATTGTCTATTTATATTTTATTCTTATATAAGCTGAAATTTTTAAATTTTATATAAGTATTCAAAACCATAAAAGAATCTGTACGAAAAACTGTCCGGTTCGGTCTTGAGTCAGCTTTTAGGTTTGAAAACCGGATTCGAACCGGATCGAACGATGACCTTCATTTATATCACTCCCATTCCAAAATTCTAATTTTCCAATCCGCAGGTCGAATCGATGAATTGGATTTTGAAAACCTCGTTTGCATCACAACAAATTCTACTTCCGCATTTCTAATGCATTTATTAGAGATCAGAAAATGGAGTCCCGTTCGGGTTGTCGTTTGATAGTTCGGTTGTAATTCCACTAGATTGATTCAGGATCAAAATCCTATCAGAGGGACACGTTTTCACTTATTTACATTTAGAAAAATCCAAAAAATTAATTATGTAAGTGGTTCAGCTCTTGCACTTAAAAATCAAAGTGTGTCTAAGAAAGTAATACTTATATTATATATTATAACAATATTACATTAATATAAAAATATTCGAAAAGGGTTCTAAAATATTTATACTATGAAAACAGGGATCTGAACCATAAAACCGGTATAAACCATGATTATTTACATAACCTGAACCTTTAAAAAATTTTCCACACGAACGTGAGCCTCTAAAATGGTCTGTGAACTGGTTTGAACCTTTTGACATTCTACCTGTGAAGATTATCATCAATTTTGAATAATAAGGACAATATTTTGACAACTACGGTTATTATTAATTTTTAAAGTATATATTTTTTAAAACATCTATTTATTCCAAGATTTATTTTAATTTTTTGGCCTAAAGATGGCAGATGCCAGAAAAATAAATTAAACATGCACCGAACGGTAGGAAAAAAAATCTCAAGAAGAAAAAAAATTCTGGGAAAAAGCCTAATAATAAAAGACGGAAGAAAAAATCTGTAGGAGTAAAAAGGTTTTCACAAAAAAAAGATACATATTTAAAAATAATATAAAACCACTTGGGTAAAATTTTGAGGTCAATAACTAATGTTATATCTTTAATTGTGTATGCATATTCAGTGCAGCGCGTCAGCAATATTTGAGGGGGAGGAGGGTGTAAATAAAGCTCGGACATATTTAGGATTAACTTTAAAAACTAATGCCAGAAATCTCAGAATTTCTTTATTTCGCAGATAGATTAAACTATTATGGCAGATTATCATTTTGCTGTATGATTAAAAACAAAAATTAGTAAAAAAACAAAATCCTTGCCAAATACTCCCGATCTCCGTAATAGAAAATTCGTGTTTGGTAAACCAGTGTTCATGGTTAATAAAGTTGACAAATTTATTACATAGAAAAAAGAAAAACTAGAGATCCGCTATAGGCAGGATTTTACCCCGACCCCCACGTCCGCCCATCGAAGTGAGCTGACGGGTTAAAAATATTTGAACAATGGGAGGGCGAGTTAAAAAAATTTCAACATTTATTTGTTATTTAAAATCATTTAAGTAAACATTTTTAAAAAATAGGCTACATAAAATTTCAACATTTTTAATACCAAAGTTCCGACAACTGAGGATGTTGTTGTCGGAAGAAATTAAGAAGTAAAAAAAAGCATATCAAAAACATGTTGAATTTGATTTGCATGGAAGTATATAACATCGATGTGGATGAAAATTTCCCCCCCCCCCAAGGCAAAAGAATTCAACTAATAGGCGGACGGGAATATTTATTTAAAACTATGGGGGTAAGGTCAAATTTATCTAAAACAGCGACTTTTAAAACAAACCTTACTTTAGAAGATACGAATAATTAATATATATAAAATTATTTCGAATCAGAAAATATATTTTGAAAGGTATGAAATAGTGGAGGTGGTGTGGGGTGGGGGGGGGGGGGTGGTTAGTTCTTTTATAAATGTTTACTATATCATTAAGATCAAGGGAGTAATTCTTAGGGGGTATTTTGAACAGTAGTAAGGTACTATAGAGTAGAGGGGTTTTTAACCAAAAACCAGCTGAATTTTATCCGCCTCCAAATTTCCCGCCCAATTAAATTTTTCCATTTTTTTGACCCACCGCTTCTCGACCTCTGTGGTATATTTTTGCTATCATATAGTCATAAATACTGACATTCTCTCGCAACATGTCCTTCCTTGCGGCATCGAAAACATATATTATTTAAACTTTTATTCTCATTTAAATTGGATATTTCTATATCCTTATTTTTCTCGCTTTCAAGAATTCTTACATTTGGAGCAATTTGAGCCATATCTCTCTGTGGAAAACCGCCCCTTGTATTGAAATTGGCAACATTACAATCTTCCCTATTATGACCAAATCGTCCACAACCCGCACAACGTAATTTATCACGTTTTCCCGGGCAATAAGGAGCTATATGTCCAAATTTTCCACATTCGAAACATTTCGTTTCTTGGCAATCTCTTACCATATGGCCCTGTTTTCCACAATTATAACAATTTAGATTTTCTTTTCCCCGTGGATTAAAACCTGGCCTTATTTCCATTCGTCTTCCCTGCGAATTTTCTCTTGACCATCTATATGGCCCCAATTGATTGTTCCCTCTATAACGGTCTCTTTTTTGCGTGTTATCAATCCTATCATTTATATTCAACTTTCTTAGGCTACTATCAGTCCATCCTTTGATCAATTCCTGTACAGGTAACCAGGTTACCTTACCCATCACATCTTCTTCTCCATTATGTCCTTCGATGGTCAATGTTTGACCTTTAATCCTTACATTCCTACTCCTTCTAATTCTTCTTCCAAAAATTAAACTACATATCCATATTATTAAAATGACAAGTGCTCCAAGAATATTATACTGGATCTCCCAGTATTTTATGAATTTCAAACTTTTCATAATCAATTCACAAGAAATTAACTATAACTTTTATAATAAAAATTTTTATCACTTGGAGAGTTAAGAGATAAGATATGATCAGGACTGTGAATATTCCAATAAAGCACATATTATTATATAGCATATTAATTAATTATCCATTAAAATAAAAATATTATTACTTGCACGTCCGCTTGCTTAATGTTTAAAAATTATTTTAAGGCTGGTTTGGCTCTTTATTATATATTTTAATGTATTTTTAATTAAACATATATAATATGCAATATTATGATATAAAACTATTATTTTTAATAAATTGAAATCTGTTCTGCTCTTTTCCCCTGAAATTAATTAAAAATTCACCCGCCCACCTATTACTTAAAACTTTTTTAAACCGCCCGGCACCAGCCCAATGTTGAAAAAAATATGAACGGGCGTAGGCGGGTAGGGTAAAAATAAAAACTCGCCCAATGCATACTTCTAATAGATTGGTCACTTAATATATCTCTATATATATTTCGATTGGTACCCCGAAAAAATCCTGTGGAAAAAACCCCATGGAAACCCCATGAAATAAAATCTTAGAAATTTCAAATTAAAATAGTAACATTCTTCTACGAGATCTTCTTCAAATCAAAAATTGAAGAGTGGTGATGAATTATTAGAGTATTAATATCTGGAGGTTGGGTAAAGTAAGGTAAATAATGTTTTAATTTTTACTTTTTTGCTAATTTTTATTTGGAAT